GTGGTGGTAGTAGTGTAGTGGTAGTAGTAGGTGGTGTAGTGGTGGGTGGTGGTGGTAGTGGTGGTGGTAGTAGTAGTGGTAGTAGTAGTGGGTGGTGGTGGTGTGGTGGTGGTAGTAGTAGTGGTGGTAGTAGTGTGTGGTGGTAGGTGGGTGGGTAGTGGTGGGTAGTAGTGGTGGGTAGGTAGTGGTGGTGGTAGTGTGTGGTATACCTTGGCTGGGATTATTATTTTCAATGTACACATTGTATGTGTACATGTAAGTATGTGTGTATGTGTCTGTGATTGTATACGTCGTTTGTGTATGTGTGTATGAAAGGTCAAGAGTGTAAGAGTACAACCAATGTACCTTTGTATATCTGGGATAATGTTTACCTCAAGTTGTATGTATGTATGTATGTAAGTAATGTATGTATGTATAATCTATGTATGTAAGTAATCTATGTATGTATAATGTATGTATGTAAGTACGTATGTATGTAAGTAATCTATGTATAAGTAATGTAAGTGTGTATATATGTAAGTATGTATGTATGTAGATGTAATTATTCTGATAGTCTAGTACAAACTCACTGCTCACCAGGGCTCAGGACCTTCTGTGTGTTAGACAGATGTGATAACCAATCACCATGAGGGCCTTAATATATATGTGTAATATCTATGTATATGTGTGTAATTATTCCTGGTGTTATGTATGTTTGTGGGGTTCTATGTATAAATATGTATGGAACTATGACCTGTTTCTTCAGTGTGATGACGTTGTACCCAAAGGGGGTTTAAAGATATAATCGTAATCAAGGTTAATCAGGTTGTGCTATTGTATTCAAAGTGATAATAAACCCTTGAGTACGATGGCATAACTACTGTGAGTACATTATCAGTCCTTTGAAAAGATTGTTATCGTACCATGGTAATATATCGTACCAATGAGTTTAAGATATCGTACTATGAGGTTGGTTATCGTAATCAAGTGGTTAATATATCATTCAATGAGTTTAAGATATCGTACCATGAGGTTAAGTTATCGTACTCAAGTGGTTAATATATCGTACTCAATGAGTTTAAGATATCGTACCTAAGAGGTTAAGTTATCGTACTCAAGTGGTTAATATATCGTACTCAATGAGTTTAAGATATCGTACTCATGAGGTTAAGTTATCGTACTCAAGAGTTTAAATTATCGTACTCAAGAGGTGAAAATGTCGTACTCGAGAGGTTAATATTTCGTACTCAAGAGGTTAAATTATCGTACTCATGAAGTTGAGGCGGCTACCGTGTCCCCACCCAGGCTTGTCCCGAGGTGTAGTAATGAACAAGGGTGTGTAATTGTGAGGAGGAGGGTAGAGGTGAGGGGAGGAAGGAGTAAGGAAGGAGGAGGGAAGGTTTTGGGAGGGAGAGGCTGAGGAGGGGGGTGGTGTTATGTCGCTGGGTGGAGTGAGGAGGGAGGGGGACAGGAGGAAGAGTCAAAGTGAAGCAATATAAGCGCTTTTCGAGGTACCCCCCTCCCCATCCTTCCTCCCTCTCACCCTCACCTCTCCCTCTCTCTCCTCACCCTCTTCCCTCTCTCTCCTCACCCTCCCCATCCACTTACCCTCTTCCCCCTCCCCATTCCTCACCACTCTCCCCCCGTCTCGTCACCTTTCCTCCACAGCTGCCCAACTTACCAGGGGAAACGGTAAAGTCACACACACACACACACACACACACACACACACACACACATGTTGACCTTTAATAATACAATATAATCTCTACTCTGTTCTTTTAACTTATAACATCTCGTTCCTTTAAAATATTATTCTCAACAGCATCTCCTTGTAAACAGTTGGTCGAGTCTTCCTGGTTCTGAGAGTCTGTTGTATTTGCCAAACTTTCCAAACTTTGTAAAAAAAAAATTCCATGTGATTTTTTCTACTTTTCATATTGACTGATTCTTAACTTTTTATTAATTTTTTTTTATTATTTTTTTTCTACTCATTTTTACTATTTTTTATTTTTTATTTTTTACTTATTATTAATTGTTATAGATTCATTATGTCACTTTCCTAGACTATCATAATTTATAAACCCTTCTATAATAATCTGTTGCTTCTATTTTCCTATTATCGTCTATTAATATATTTTGCTATTTGCTATTGGAGATTATTCAAGGCGGTGTTATTCCTGTAGGTGTGTTAATAGATTGTTATTATTATTATTATTGTTACTAAATTAATCCATCATCACACATTACAGAAATAATCGTAAGTTTAAAATCAAATCTAACTTACGATTAATCAAAAAGAGAGAGAGATAATTGGGTTATTATAATTGATTGAAAAAAAAAATATATTACGTCGTTAAATAATAGTAGGAAGAAATTGATTTGACCCAGCGACCTCTTGTTGTGGTGGAGGTCAAGACGTGATCCACCTATCGGAGAGGAGTTGTTATTGTTGACGAGTCTGAGGTGGGAAGATGCCTGTATGAATGTCTCTCTCTCTCTCTCTCTCTCTCTCTCTCTCTCTCTCTCTCTCTCTCTCTTACACACACACACGTACAACTACTTTCTCCAATTGTGAGGTTAATGATCGTTTATGAAGACAATTTTACCAGTCACTTCAGACCTGACCTAACCTAACCAAACGAGAACCCACAGTAATTAGAAAGTATTTACATCAGATAAACCTAAACACATATGTATCAAATTATTATACTCGAGATACAGTTAACTAGGTGAACAGTTGCCAGCGAGCATCATTTATCAAGTCGACGTGGAATCTAATTTAATAAAGTTTCGAAATGTGCAGCTGTCTCGTGATATACCCGAATTAAACATTTCTGTATATCTAACTTGTTAAATTCAGGTTTTAGGAGGTTTGTTTTCGAGGTTAATTTATGTGTTTGTGGTGTAGGTATGTGGTATGTGATATTTGAGACAGCAGGTGTAAGGTTAGTTATGTGAAAGCTTCTATTTCCTGCAAGATGTGTGATGTTGATGGAGTACCTCGACCTAGTCCTCTCAAGGGGTGTGTGATGTTGATGGAGTACCTCGACCTATTCCATTCAAGGGGTGTGATGTTGATGGAGAACCTCGACCTATTCCTCGCAGGGTGTGTGATGTTGATGGAGTACCTCGACTTAGTCCTCTCAAGGGGTGTGATGTTGATGGAGTACCTCGACCTAGTCCTCTCAAGGGGTGTGTGATGTTGATGGAGTACCTCGACCTATTCCATTCAAGGGGTGTGATGTTGATGGAGTACCTCGACTTAGTCCTCTCAAGGGGTGTGATGTTGATTGAGTACCTCGACCAAGACCTCCTCCCTAAAGCATATATTTTGTTCTTTTATATTGCGAAATATAACTTAACAGAGTAAAACTTAACCTAATCCTATTTTATGGGTACAAGGTAAGGGTTTATTTTTAGGGCCCTGAGTAACTTAGGGACCCTAGGTAACTAAGGAGCCCTGGGTAGCTGCCTCGTTTATCCTGCCCCTAATTGGGCCTTTGGTATTGTTATACATCACAGCTAGGTGGCAGCACTAACGACATAAACAAACATTAGCGCGGCTGTTGTAAAGTTCACCAGGATGAAGGAGACCGAACTGTACTGTCATAAATATGTAATTCTCAGTGGCGTGAGGTACCCGCTAGCCCTGTGACCGACGTGATGACCCGAGATGACCTCAGCTTGAACTCGAGGTCTTCACGCACTTCACCAGAGGGTAATATATATTTTTCCAGAGAAACTTTTCGTGTTTTTAGTATATTCTCGTGGTGTTGGATGAGTTAATTAAGTGCTGCAACACCTGTTTAATATTTTTCACGGGTATTCTTTGTGTTTTACGAGGTAAGCATCACAGTGGGACGTGGAAAATTGATACAATATTTTAAAAGTTTAATATTCAAGAAGATCCAGTTTCTGACCTCGATGGAGAAAGCTCTTGTGGCCTCCTACAACCAGCTGGGTGGCCGTGTAATGCATGCATGTATGTATGTATGTATGTATGTATGTATGTATGTATGTATGTATTAATGAGGTATACATATAACCCTGTGTATTAAAAGTTGGTACTGTATCCATGTAAAGTAAGAACCAGTGGCAAGTGATATAGTTATGACTCTACTCACCCTACTCTCGCTGGGCATGGCGGTGTGAGACTCCTGTAGTAGGCGCTGACGGGGAAGGTGGTGGTGGTGACCTCAGTAGCCCCTATATGCCTGATTGATGGACCTCCTGATTCACGTTCACCTGTAGGAAGAAATTTTCATGAATAGAGGAACACAGCCTTGAGTAAGATACTGGAAAAGCTAGCATGTAATAGACTAAATTCCTTCTGCAATGTCAATAACATCTTTACAGACTCCCAGTTTGGATTTAGAGCTAGAAGGTCGAGTGAGAGTGCTCTGCTATCCTTTACTAATGACATCTTAAATTCCTTTGATGACAGTCAGTTCACAGTCGGTATATTCTTGGAGCTCTCTAAAGCCTTCGATACTGTCGACCATACCATCCTCCTTTCAAAGCTTGAATATTACGGCGTTAGGGTCCTGTCCCACAAATTGGTTTACCTCATATCTGTCCAACAGGATGCAGTATATCTGTTATAATAACCACCAATCTGACTCCTCGCCAATCTTGTATGGAGTCCCCCAAGGTTCAATTCTCGATCCTGTACTGTTTTTGTTGTACATAAACGACATAGTCCACGCCAGCTCACTCATAAAATACAACTTATTTGCAGACGATAGTAATCTCTATGCCATCAACTCAGACCTCTATTCCTTGATGAGAACTATGAACACTGAATTAACTAAAGTCGGGACCTGGGTAATAAGTAATAAACTGACCTTAAACCTTGAGAAAACCCACTACACGATCTTTCACAGAAGAAAAAACTTACCTCCAGACTTGAACCCCCTGTACCTTGGTAATATAGTCCTCAAATGCGAACAAAATACTAAATTCCTTAAGGCACCCAGAGCTACTAAGACCACCCCCATGCGCTCCTCTCAGTCCCAGACCTCCATAAAATATCACGGTGTGAAGGTGTGGAACAACTTACCACCACCCATCCGAGGAAAGACTACGCTTCCTTCCTTTAAATCATCTCTAAAAAAATATCTATTGTCGAAGTATTAATATTTCTTGTAACACTTACTATATTTACAGCACCTGCTTTTATTGTACCATCAAAACCGTTTTATCAGAAATTATCATGTAAATAAATAAGTAATTACCATTGCAATAAACATATTTGCCAACTAGACATAATCCTGACAGCTCTGTCCTCTTGTTCAACCTTATTACTGTACAACCCAGGTTGTACTGCTCCCCCATTATACTTGTGTTTTTAAATTCCACTCTAATTTATATATATATATATATATATATATATATATATATATATATATATATATATATATATATATATATATATATATATATATATATATATATATATATATATATATATATATATATGTATGTGTATATGTATGTATGAATAAATAAATAAAAAAAATAATAATAATAAAAAAAAAATAAAAAATAATAAATAATAAATAACAAATTAAGTAAATATTGAAGTGATAACCGTGGTAACACTATGAGATGTTGTTATTACCACTAAATGTTACATAATACTTCCTTGAGATAAATGTATAGTATATATCAGATGCCGAGAGCTCAGGTTCTCAACTGGCTCAGCCATGTTAATATTGTTATTATTATCCACTCTGTATCTGTGTTTTTCTGGTTAAATAAACTGTTTCAATTCAATTCAATACGTGGCCGAGGTCTCTGTAGTCGTGGGTAGGAGGGAGGGTAGGGGGAGAGCGGGAAGGAGGGGTTGGATGTTACAGTACAGGTGGGTCAAGGGGTGGAGTTAGGAGGAGGAGGAAGATGTACCGTGATGGAGGAGGTGTGGTGATGGAGGAGGTGTGGTGATGGAGGTGATGTGATAGTGAAGCGAAGGGTGAACGTGAAAGGAAGGAGGAGGAGGAAGAGATGTAATAGTAAGAGGAGGAAGGAGTGTGGTCTTGGAGGTGATGTGGTGAGAGTCTGAAGTTTCCCTCCCTATCCTCACTCCCCCTCTCCACCTCCCTCCTCCCCTCTCTCTCCCCCAAGCTCCCCCCCCCCACACCTCGTTCTTCATGCCGCCTCGACACTTCCTCCCTGATGATGATGATGGTAGTGATGATGGTGATAAGTAAGAAGTAAAAGCAAAACTCACCTCCCTTCCAGAACAGACGAGAAACACCCATCTTTCCTCCCTCCCTTCAACCCCCTCCTACCCCTGCAACCCCCTCACAACCCTTCCTTCACCCCATCCCATCCCCCCTTCCCTCCCTCCCTAACCACCTGACCATTTCCACAGGTAAATGAACAATATATTAAGAACATCCCTTTACCACCACAGCCAAACCAATACCATTGTGATGTAAAAGACTTTATTCATTATTTACTACCACAGTGAATAATCAGATCCTCTTTATATTATACAATGAAGTTTTTATTGTCTATTGAATTATTTTATATGTAAAGTGAGATCAAACATTGTATATTGTATGTTGTATGATGATTGTACATTAAAGATACATTATACACACACATACACATAAGAAACTTCTCTGTACAAGTTGAGTCTCATTGTAATTTTGCCACCACCTTGAGATAAATTTTCACCTTCAGAAGAGCCTCAAAATTTTCACTTACGAGAAAAAAAAATTATCTTACGTTACTTTTGAGAATGTGAGACCACGACCACCCTAGGTCATCGCTATACTTATATTACTAATGATATATCCTGATCTTTAACCTTCAATTAAGCGTTATTAACTGGGTAACACTTCCAGGAAAGGACAGAGGAGGTGTATCATAGCTAGCATCGGCACTCAGCATCGCCAGGCTATTGTCTCCCCTTAGCCAGACGAACGTAAGTGTATGAGGGCTTGTTTTATATGTAGTTTGAGTATATATGTACTTTTAATTCCTATTGTGTAGTGTGTATACTGTATGACTATGTGGTATCGTGTGTGTGTGTGTGTGGAGGAGGTCATGACTGGGGTGGAAAATGTGGCGTTTTGTTAGTGTAATGGTCGACTTCCTCCTTTCCAGCCTTAGCCTCCTGAAGTGAGTGAGGTGCTCTCTCTCTCTCTCTCACTCGTCACGAAAACACCACCACATTTCAGTTTATTTGCGCTAACACAGTATTACACCAGCTATTTTTTTTATTATTATCTGTATATTCAAAATTATCTGTTGTTATTCATTCACACGGTTTATCACTTCTCGATCTAGTTATCCAATTACTGTATCGTATTTTTCCCGCCTAATTTCCTTCTCTTTATTTGTCTAGGTTCATCTTATAACCTTTGTCTTCCATTTAATGATAATCTGTTGTTACTCTCATTATTAGTTTATTTATCTCCATCCACGTTTTATTTAGTACTTTTTGGTAATTGGCGCTATTTTTTTGCGTATTGCTTTGGCTATTGTTATGGGCGTGGGCGGACTTTTTTGTTTAGTTTACCCTCCTAGCGCCCCGGTTTTTTGTGATGCTTATTGTTGACTGTTTAAAATGTTATCCCTCGCTGCCTTACCCACGGCTTATCATACTGGTTGTAATTTATCTAATTTAATTTAATTTAATTTATCTTCTTCGCCATTGATCGGCCTGTTAGTCACTTGGACGGTCAGTCGCTTGTTACTCACTGTTGGCAAGTACTGGGCGCGTCACAGCACTCTCTACCATTGACATTGGCTGTGACACTTTCTTATATATTGAGGTCTTCATTAGTTTATATATAAAAATAATCGGCACTAAAGCGAGCAGGCTAATAGGATTACAGTACGTGTTAGTTAATATATTATTATATACCGAGTAGAGTATTTGCGCGTGACAATTTGATCAGCCTAGTGCATGTCCAATTTTCTCTCGAGGGTCAACTGTTTAGAGACGTAACCAGCTGTTCGGGTTAAGTTATTCCATACGTCTGCAGTTTGACGTTTGTTTTGTGTTTGTGATGGTGATTTGTATAACCCGACTCCGTGATCTCCCGCACCAATACAGGGTAGAGTTCTTAGTTTCCCATCGTCTTGGACTTCTTGATCACATCCTTATGTATTTTTCGGTACACTGTTAGAATCACGTGAAGATTACTATATGCACCTACCACTCACAGGTGTATGGGTGGCGTCTTTCGTTCTCTTTACTCTTCCTCTTTGCCATTTGTCAGTTTGTGGGTGGCAGATAGTCCATCAGTTATCTATCGGCATAACATTCTGTCTCTTTTTTTTAATCGAAATGATGTAATATTTAACTGAATAGAAGAGACACTTTCCAGCCACCTCCTTAAACTGTAGCGACGTCGACTGGAGAAATAAAATTACACCATCTGGCCTTCATAACCCGGGAACTGTTTTTGTAGACACTGAGAGACAATTTCCTATTCCAACATGTTATAGATCCGACTCACGCGATGTTGTCCTCCAGATTGAACTGTTACTTGACAACATTACGAGAGCAGGTCAAGGTTGAAATATTATGAGGGTTATTTACTACAGGATGAGGGAGGAAATAGGAATAATAATGCTAGTTATAGCCAATGTTGATAATCTTAATATACCAGAAAAAAAAATCAGGCTTCATTACTTTTGAAATATGAATCCAATATTTTCTACATTAGGGGTTCAAGGGTCAAGGTGTTGGGGTTCGGTTGTTGGGTCAAAGTGCCGGCAGGGGACTTGTGGGTTCATCAGCTTCAGGATGTTTAAAGAGATGAGATGTTAAGCGTTGTCCTCAAGCCTCTCGGGATACTCAAGGTGTTTTCCTACAGGCATTATTTTAGTCGCTGTACATTTTCCAGTTGATGCCTTCTCTTTGAACAGACGGGTCCTCCGGGCTGGTGCTGGTGGTGTACAGTTGTCAGGCGGACATGTTGGAGTGAGGAAGTTGTAAAGCTGATTGGCCAATGTTTCTTGTTCTCATATTCAAAGACACGATCAATGCTACCTAGTGTTTGGTTGGATTTTCTTTTTTTCACCGCTGCTCTCACTTGTGTTGCTGCCAGGGACGTGTTGTAAACAGAGTAGGTACCTAGCTTTGTGAAGTGACTGCACTCTGCTACGTTAGAGTCCATCATTCGACCACATTAAAACTTTAAAATATAAATAAAAACAAACATTAAAACTTTGTGCAAATCATTCGGAACAGTTGCATAATATCCTCTTGTCACTTTTTACGAAACGCTTTCTATAGTCTATAATTTTAATGATTTAGTTCCTGATATATTTGTCCATATTATTTATTTAAATCGATGACCATCTCGAGACTGTAATAGACCCATAGGGTGACCAGTTTTGGCCCTTTGGGTAAATAGGTAAACGGAGTTAGTCCATAAAATGAATCCATGTTGTACCTCCCTCAACTTGTTTCTTCATTAGTCAAACTGTATTCCACTTCCAGCTAACGTAAAAGTCTTCTCCTTCAACCATTGTGTAGCTGTTGAGTCACGTCTGTATCGAATGTTTATCTGTGCTATCACTTACAGTATTCAGGTTCGGGATTCTCAAAGCCTCGCGAGTTAAAAATTTCCTCCCGTTTTTTAATAGAAATAAGATAACACATCGACTGATATAAAGTAAGTTTATTTTTATATTTTTTTTTTCAGCTAAATTGGTGTTTTTATTTTTCTTAATTTAGGTAGTTTGGTGAGTAAATGTATCTATCTCTTCTATATTTCTATATGTTTTCGTCTATCTATCTCTCTGGCTATCAATCTATCTATATTTAGTTACTTACTCTCAGGAACGTACCATAAAGATTATTATTATTATTATTATTATTATTGCTGTTGTTGTCGTTGTCTTGTAGAGGCCCTTGTTATTATTTTACGTGATGATTAAACTTCCTTACTCTAATATAATATAACGTGCCCTATCTAACGTAAAGCAAACCTAACGTAACCTAATCTGACTTGAAGATAACATAACCTTATATAACCTAACCGAACTTAACCTAATCTAACACTCCCGTCAGGTATCGTAAGAATTATTTTTAGATGTACCTCCCGCCCAAATATCCTCATGACTTTAGTTTTGAAAATTTTTACTCTTTCAACATTTTCTTTAGATACAATACCGAAAATACAATAAAATACAATATATTGATTCAGTGTATTAGGGGAATGATTTTATTTTGTCTTTTGCTTTTAATTTTGTTGTTAGTTTTGAATTCCGTTTATCGCTCGTGAGTGAATATTATCAGGGTATAGGAGATGTTGTTACCCATAAAGAAATAGCAAGAATTTAGCCTCACACAATAGCTGTACGATTCAGAGAACAGGATTAAGAACAGCTGTATGACTCAGTACAGGATTAAGAACAGCTGTATGACTCACAGAACAGGGTTAAGAACAGCTGTATGACTCAGTACAGGATTAAGAACAGCTGTATGACTCACAGAACAGGGTTAAGAACAGCTGTATGACTCAGTACAGGATTAAGAACAGCTGTATGACTCACAGAACAGGGTTAAGAACAGCTGTATGACTCAGTACAGGATTAAGAACAGCTGTATGACTCACAGAACAGGGCTAAGAACAGCTGTATGACTCAGTACAGGATTAAGAACAGCTGTATGACTCACAGAACAGGGTTAAGAACAGCTGTATGACTCACAGAACAGGGCTAAGAACAGCTGTATGACTCACAGAACAGGGTTAAGAACAGCTGTATGACTCCACAGGATTAAGAACAGCTGTAGACTCACAGAACAGGGCTAAGAACAGCTGTACGACTCACAGAACAGGGCTAAGATCACCTGTACGACTCACAGAACAGGGCTAAGAACTGCTGTATGACTCACAGAACAGGATTAAGAACAGCTGTACGACTCAGAACAGGATTAAGAACAGCTGTATGACTCAGAACATTAAGAACAGCTATATGACTCACAGAACAGGGTTAAGAACAGCTGTATGACTCACAGAACAGGATTAAGATTAAGAACAGCTGTATGACTCACAGAACAGGATTAAGAACAGCTGTACGACTCAAAACAGGATTAAGAACAGCTGTATGACTAAGAACAGTATAGGATTAAGAACAGCTATATGACTCACAGAACAGCTGGCTAAGAACAGCTGTACGACTCACAGAACAGGGTTAAGAACAGCTGTATGACTCACAGAACAGGGCTAAGAACAGCTGTAGACTCTAACAGCTGTACGACTCACAGAACAAGATTAAGAACAACTTTCAGCTGTACGACTCAGAACAGGATTAAGAACAGCTGTACGACTCACAGAACAAGATTAAGAACAGCTGTACGACTCAGTACAGGATTAAGAACAGCTGTACGACTCACAGAACAGGGCTAAGAACAGCTGTACGACTCACAGAACAAGATTAAGAACAGCTGTACGACTCAGTACAGGATTAAGAACAGCTGTACGACTCACAGAACAGGGTTAAGAACAGCTATATGACTCACAGAACAGGATTAAGAACAGCTGTACGACTCAGAACAGGATTAAGAACAGCTGTACGACTCAGAACAGGATTAAGAACAGCTGTACGACTCACAGAACAGGGCTAAGAACACCTGTACGATTTAAAGAACTTACAAAATGTGGTCAAAACTATCACAACACGACCAACAGCGGCACGACCCGACCCACAGTGTACTCGTTCACAAGATTACAACACGACTCCACGAACGCCAGCACTACCCTGTCGGACTAACCTTCAACGACAAGAGCGCCAGATGTCGTACAGCACGCCACAGGATGTCGTGTTTGGTCGTATTGGCACGAGAAGCGATGACTACAGAGGAAGGCTTCTGGCGAACACTTGACGGGGGGAACCCAGCCGAGCGACATCCAGGCCCGGTCGACCCACACTGACAGGTTACCCCTTACCCAACCCCTCCTACTTATAACACCTCCCTGTCTTTCTCCCCACCTCATAACACCTCCCTGTCTTTCTCCCCACCTCATAACACCTCCCTGTCTTTCTCCCCACCTCATAACACCTCCCTGTCTTTCTCCCCATAGCACCTCCCTGTCTTTCTCCCCATACCACCTCACTGTCTTTTCTCCCCCATAGCACCTCACTGTCTTTCTCCCCATAGCACCTCCCTGTCTTTCTCCCCATAGCACCTCACTGTCTCTCTCCCATACCAGCACCTCCTGTCTCCCTCCCTACCCCACAGCACCTCTGTGTCTCCCCTCCCTCACCTCCACAGCACCTCCCTGTCTTCCCCCCTCCCACCTCACAGCACCTCCCTGTCTCTCCTCCCTACCCTCACAGCACCTCCCTGTCTCCTCCTCACCCCCAGCACCTCCCTGTGCACCTCACCTCACAGCACCTCCCCTGTCTTCCTCCCTACCCCACAGCACCTCCCTGTCTTCCTCCTCACCCCACAGCACCTCTGTGTCTCCCTCCTCACCTCACAGCACCTCCCTGTCTTCCTCCCACCTCACAGCACCTCCCTGTCTTCCTCCTCACCCCAGCACCCTCTGTCTCCCTCCCCTCACCCCACAGCACCTCCCTGTCTTCCCTCCCCACCCCACAGCAGCACCACCCCTGTCCCTCACAGCACCACCCTGTCTCCCTCCTCACCTCACAGCACCTCCCTGTCTTCCTCCTCACCCCACAGCACCTCTGTGTCTCCCTCCTCACCCCACAGCACCTCCCTGTCTTCCTCCCCACACAGCACCTCCCTGTCTCCTCCCCCCACCTCACAGCACCTCCCTACCTCACACACCACCCTGTCTCCTCTCCTCACCTCACAGCACCTCCCTGTCTCCTCCCTACCTCACAGCACCTCCTGTCTCCCTCCTCACCCCACAGCACCTCCCTGTCTCCCTCCCCACCTCACAGCACCTCCCTGTCTCCCCTCCTGCCTCCCCACAGCACCTCCTGTCTTCCTCCTCACCCCTCACAGCACCTCCCCTGTCTCCTCCCCACCCTCACAGCACCTCCCTGTCTCCCTCCCTCACCCTCACAGCACCTCCCCTCCCCTCCCCACCACAGCACCTCCCTGTCTTCCTCCCCACCCCACAGCACCACCCTGTCTCCCTCCCCACCTCCACAGCACCTCTGTCTCCTCCTCACCTCACAGCACCTCCTGTCTTCCTCCCTCACAGCACCTCCCTGTCTCCCTCCTCACCTCACAGCACCTCCCTGTCTCCCTCCTCACCTCACAGCACCTCCGTCTCCCTCCTCACCTCACAGCACCTCCGTCTCCCTCCTCACCTCACAGCACCTCCGTCTCCCTCCTCACCTCACAACCCCTATCTCCTCACCTCACCAAATCTCCCCTCCTGTATACTTATAGCATAGGTGTACAAAAAGCAGTGTTATGCATAAGATATTACAATATCAAGTGGTTGCAGGTCAGTTAGGTCACAATCTCAATGGTTAGGTAAAGGAAAATTACGGCTAGGTGTTTTCCTACCCTTCGTCATATTGTTACCTGTTAATTACCACGAAGCCTCCTTATGATAAGCAGGAGTCAGTATTGGTGTTCTTTTAGTTATTGCGGTTTGGCGAGTCGACAAATACGTTTTGGTCGTACTTCAAATAGTTCGTTCGTAATAGGATTGGGACTCCAGTTCTGGTGGTTGGGGGAATATTTGGAGTGAGATCCCTTTGACCAATCACCAATGTTTTCATCTTTTCTATATCCTACTCACAAGCTGTTAGAAGTTATGTCAGTGATCATCTCAGCATTAAGGTTGTCTTCTAGGAAAAGCCTCATATTTGTATTTTTTATTTAAACAGGTAAATACAAATTATAAAATCACAGCAACATTAAAACATTTGGAAATAAGATCACAATCAATATAGAATAGGTGAGGGACATAAGAAGAAAGTGTGTCAACAAATTACCAGACAAAGGTTGAGAAAAGCAAAATTATTCATGTTGTGAGTTCAGGCTATGATATAAACTGCAGGGAGTTAATTTTTAATAATTAGTAATACAGTAATTTGTAGGTCAAATGGGCTTCCTGTTCTATTAAGCCCTAACCTAACCATTAAAATTGGCACCCATTATGACGAAGTCCCAACCTAAATAGTTAGATCAAGGTAGATTAATTTAGGATGGGGTCTACTTGACTAGTCACCCTGAGAATCTACTCCTAACAAAACTGACTAAAACTTCCCTACATTTACTGACACCCAGCAGTGTAAACCATGGCCTGGGAAGTTGTCCATATTTCATCTGTAAATTATTCTCTTGAAGACTTTAGAACAAAGTTTTTAAAAGAACATTGGGAGGGTAATATATTTGTTTGAATATAATGTAAATATTAAGGTCGTTTAAGCTATCTATACATGACGCAGATGTGGTTTGCCGGCATTACTGTGCAGTCGTGACTGTTATACCACATTTACAAATACAAGGAACTAGAGCACCAAGTATGTTGATAGTACAAAATTTATGGAGTTTAAACTCAAATGAGAAAACTCGGGACATGACAATTTAATACTGTACCCTGTATGACCAAAAATACTAAATCAATAGTCAAATGATAGCTTCGTGGGGTATAACTCAGTACATTATCTCGGAATGTCAAAACTGTTTGCCACTGGTATTGTCCAAAGACCTAACAGCATCCAAGCATTGACCTCTGAATACACACACATAGGAATACATATTTGGTCTTGAAGTTAAACAACAAAACCATGGAATCAATCAACGTTTCCTCATATAAAGACCAACATGAGATTTAGGTTAAGTTCAAGTTGCTTTCCATTTCTCCCAACCTCTACTGTATCTCTCACCACAAACCTAATCTTTCCACATTTAATGAAAACTAAAGTTGGCAACTGAACCACTCATACGGATTTAAAACAACCTGAACTTAATTACAGATAAGGAATTCAATAACCAAATCAAAACTTTCCATGGAGGATACAGTACTCCATTATCATTATTACAGTACTATACAGTGTTTCAAGAAACTTTTTGAATTTAGTCCACTAATAAGTCAGGAATAGTCACACTTATAAATTGCATCTCTCCAAAATATGGAATAACAGTTCAGTATTTAAGTATAGCCTCAATACTCTCTTTTTTGTGTAGTAATTCATAAGATATCATAAATTACAGATAATAATACAAATTAAATGTGACATGTCCAATGGGGCCCAGTGCTAAAGGTCAGATTTGGCCTATCACCACAAGGGCCCATTTGACCTGTATCCTAAACCAAACTATTGCATCAAGGTCCATACATATCTCTTCTATTCACAGAACTTCTAAATTATGACACCATATGATTCTAATTACACAAAAGACACATCACATCCCAACAGGAAAAAAAAAAACTAAAAAATGAATCAATGTTCATTACCATTTCAAATAAAGCATACAAGGCATGTGGTGTGTAAGAAAATAATATTCTTTGGGTGCACCGAGAGAGGCTATTGTTTAAATACATGGAAATACAAAGAATTACTCTAGGATAAACGCACTTCACTACATTGGCACATACTTCTGCATTCACCCCAACAAACATACGTATGCTCACACATTTATAACATGTCAACAGCAAGGCGAGATTACCCCCCCAAGTGATCCATTTCGATGAACACTCCCTACCCCCCTTAGGATAAACAAAGAGTCATTTCCGAGCAGAGGTTTATCGCGAGTGTTCCATTTTAAAATACACTCCTGATATCTTGGAATAAACATAGAATCACATTGGTCTGTGATTATGCCATGGCACCAAAAACTGGGTTGTGTCGACAGATGCTCGGGCCCTTTTCCTCATACTCGGCCTTCGTGTGGCAGACCTGGTAGAAGTCAGGCTGGAAAAGGAGAGATTACAAGATTGTACTGTATGTATTATCTTCTCTTTCCAGTACTATAAATAATTTAAAAGGACTTATTAAGCTAGTAGCCAATACAGCACTCACTTAAGCACAATTTTACCCCCATTAACTTTGGACTGAACAGGGTACAGTAATACCAACTGAGCCAATATATGTAATTTTATTAGTCAAGTACTGTAGTCTATCTATAATACTGTACAATTGAAGGGGTGGGATGCAGAAGGCAATTTATTGTACTGTACTGGTAAAATATTCTCACTTGGGTTGTCTATCAAATGAAAGATAATGAATATGGTTCTTACAAGCTTTCAGAAAGTACAAGTAGCTGTACTGGAAGGAAATGAATATAATGAGAAAGCCAAGAAAGTAAAAGGGATACTTACAGTTGATGCTAACATAGAGCCACCAAACCATACAGCATAACGCTGCATCTTGTGGGCGATAACATTAACATCAATGGGTTTGGGCTGAAAAAAAGAAATTACAAACTATAAAACCATGAAGATTTTTTCAAGCTACGACACAGCAAATATCTTTTAAGTGTCTGTACTTGCTGTTGTTTCCAGCCTCTGTGATAAAACAGGAAAAGTGTAGAATCTATTTATAAAATTTTCTTATCAACATTTTCAAACTACCCATTTATAATTGTAGAATTATCACCATAACATACCTTAATACGACCACCACTGAGTTGTTCTGTGATACGCAGTCTAGCATCAACAATTCGCTTTACGTCCCTCTGCAGACGACGGTCAAAGTCCTTAAACATAGTAGATCCACCAGAAAGAACAATATTCTTGTAAAGAGGACGGCGCACATCAATGGGACAATTCTGGATCACATTGTCTACAACTTCACTAATTGGAACAGTGAAGTCAGGGTTTGAAAACTGAAATTTAAGTTAAAAAACCTGTATGACAATTCTGATAAAACATACATAAAAGGTAAAAACATGAATATCAGTTTTAACTCCAAGTCAGTAATTCTTACAATAGGTTCAACAGTTTCTAGGTGGTAGATAAATGACTTAGAATTGTCTTTGAATGACAACAATTCTTACTTACCAGTCAATAGTGTCATAATAATGTTGCATTATTTACTGTGGGTTACTATACCTAAATAAAGAGTCTGGAATAGAGTAGTTGCAAGCTATCTGCCACTAAAGGATGATGACAAGGAAGCAATGGTGTTAGGGCAGATCATGGTCTCATGTTCTTGTATAGTAAATACTGTACTCTAATTTACCAAATTCCCATTTTTCCTCAAAATGGTAACGAGAACCAAACAACACACCCATCTGTCACATGAAAAACTACTCATGAAATCTGTTTCCCAAGTACAGAACAATTTTGGGTCCAGCAGTCTGAAAGTTTTATTAAGAACATTTAAGTAACTGCCATTATCCTAAAATGGCTAAAAGCAATACCTCTGGGTGGAAGAAGATTTCAGGTCCTAGGAAGCGTTCATAGCCAATATCAATATCGAAGGTCTGGTTGGTGACAGGGTTCTTGCCTTCATACCTTTTAATCCACTTGGACTGGTCACTGTCATACTTGTTGAACTCTTTAGCAATATCAGGACATATGTAACTGAACTTCTCTGTGAACAAATACCAGCATGAGTACATGTCTTAAATATGCAATACTGTACAATGTGAAGAAATTATCTGGAACTATAATTAACACAGCCTCTTCCTTCAGCTGCAGTATCTAAATCAAAACCTATATTCCCCCTTGTAACAATGAAGATACTTTGAGTTAATGGCAATTATTACAGCAGTGTGATATCTGCCAAACAAGTTGAGTCAACCAAAACTGGTCAAAAACTGCATCATTGTGACCTATCCAAAAAATTTTCTCTTGGTGAATCATGTCTAGTGTAAACCAAGTTGGCAGACACAATTATCAAATTAAAATGATCATCTTCATCAATGTGGAACTCAACCTAGGAACTGTATACTGATTTGTGGATGAAAATTTTGAAAATAAGGATCCATCAAAATTTATATCCTACATTATTTAAACACATTATAATTAAAATAAAAATAAAGAATCACTTACCCTTAACAGCTTTGGCTGTCTCCATACTCATCTGAGGTGGGATATTGTGTTCCCTCTCCCTCAACAAGCTCTGGACAAAGTAGGTGATGTCTCGGCCAGCAATGGGAATGTGCTTAATACAGCTCCCAATAACATACCCGTCAGCCTATGAATGGATGACAAGATACTACTGTAAATACTGGGAAACATAAGCAACAAAACCACAAAGTCAGTCATCCACTACATCCCATGTTGGAAAATACATTATACTGGCAGACTTATATAAAATAAGTCTTGCTGTTATTCTAAAATACAGTACTGTAAAGGAAATCAACATTATGCCACTTCCCACAATTTTGTGGGATCACCTTAACTCCTTGGATAAAAGGGACATACTGAGTAACCCTAGTTCTGAAACAAGAGTGATGACCAACTCTGAATGGCATACACACCAAAAAAAGAAGAAATATCTAAGGTCGTGATGAACATATACAGCAAGTAAGATGCATGTGGCTCTGTGGGGACTGAGCTTGCAGTTAAAGAATTTAAGCCTTCTATTACCAGCTAAATCATGGCATTTCATTCATGCTTATTTTCTTTGGTAATCAGGAGGATTTGTTGACCTTCTACTGTACTTTACAAAAACAAGTTCACTACTTACTGTATGGAATGATATAGTATTTAGAAAGAAAAAAATATAGATGCATTGCCCTTGATTGCGGCCACAATGTGCCACGGCAGAAAAGAGACTGCAAAAGATTTAAAAACTTTGATTAAATAGTTGACACTAACCACTGGTATGACGTGTGTAACACCGTCCCCAGAGTCAATGACTGTTCCTGTCAACGACCGCTCTGGAGCTTGACGAGATGCCCAGGACGCTGCCAGGGAGAGCACTGCCTGCACCGCAATGTACAACCCAGGCACATTGAATGACTCAAACATAATTTCTGTGTAAGAAATATTTACATATTATTATAAGTAGAAAAAAGGATAAATATAACAGAAAGGCAACATATAAGTCTCCTTCAGCCTTTAGGCTTACCATGTACTGTAAGCCTTACTTTACATCTGTGATAATACTCAGATTTTTTTTAACTTATCCAGTAACTATGAGTAAAGTTGGATGTACAAACAAGCCTCAGTAACAGATTTTGTTTGTATCTTAATACAGTAACAGACATATGGTAAACTTCAACTACATTCACCTGCTGTGTACTCGCGATTCTCAGGCGTATTGAGAGGGGGTTCTGTCAACAGGAAATAGTGATCCTCCGGCTCAGCTCGGAGATACTTGAATATACACTGCTCCATGAACTTCTCCATCAGGTCCCAGTCTTCAACAATACCGTGCCTCACTGGATACTATTACAAATCATATCAAGACACAGTCAGTATAAATATGGTACATACTACTGTACTCACAGTCACTCATAAATATTCTTATTAGGAACTGATACAACTTCAAATGACTTGTACTAACATTATAAATAATTACACAAAAATGTGCATAGAATAATTTTATACCTTAATGGCATAGCCTGTGGCATCCATGGCCTCATCACCAATAAAGAAGTCCAAATCCTCAACTCCTTTACATAGTCTCCGCTGTGATTGTTCCCCCACCTTGGCCGTCTCCTTAATTGCAACAGCAGAGGGAATGATCATTTGGGGTTCATGATTCCCGGCAAACCCAAGTTTGGTGTACCTGAAGCAAAAATTATTGATATCTTAAATGAGGTTACACATTTATCACTGAACTGGTATACTGTATATTCTGCAGTGAGGCATCAGCAATATAGATGATTAACCTGACATAAGTAAATAGAGATTTAAAAAATTAAATCACTCAGAAAATTGATCTCATTAATTATTTAAATTCAAATAAAAATTTTTTTGCTCTATTTAATACATTGATAATACTGTACTGTTCTTAAGAGTAAAGCTCCAGGTTATCCAGCCACCTAACATAAAATCTCTATAGAAGAAAACTTATTTCTGAAATCAGGACTAAAGCAAATCTGGTGCAGGAATAGCACTTTTTAATATATAAAGTTGTTTTCCCTAGTTTACCCATCTGTAAATGCTGCCACCAGCCTCTGTTATCAGTAATAATGTTTCACAGCAACTGACTGACCCCAAACTCTAAGCCATGGAATGCTTCCCAGCCAGCAAATAACCTTTCTTTCCCTACAAACCTAAAATAATAATACATGTAATTATTATAATAATAATAATACAGACAAATCCCCGGGTTATGTACGAGTTCTGTTCTTAAGTAGAAAATGTACTCAAGTCGAACCACATACCTTATGTTAATACAGTACTTAGAGAACAATGTTTATATACATATAAAATCAATTAATTTAAGAGAAAAGAAGAAATAAAATGATATAATACAGTAAATGAAAGTAAAAATAAGTCATCAGGTAAATAAAATACTGTACTGTACATTTAAAATTTAACCTCATTCGTATTGGCGGATGTTCGTAAGTTGGACGTACGTAACCCAGGTACCTATTGTATACTTCCATCCTAGGATGGATTGTTTTCTCCTTCCTCTTAAATACGATAAATCATAATATTACGTAATACAGTAGTAATAATAATAATGACATTTGCTGGAAGTGCTCATGTGTAAGGAAAAGACGCCGAAGCATTTGTTGACAATACTGTATGGTGACACATTACTTATTAAACAGAGAATACTTATTTTGATTGTCATATGACAAGTTTTTCAGTGTTTTTCCTCGCAATTTCCCCCATCCTTCATGCCCTGCCCACTACAGGTGATTTATGATCGTAGATAGAGAACTAAAAAAAAAAAGGTCATTACATGGATAAGATAGTAGCCATGTTGCAGTTAGCACCAGAAACGTAGGTTAGATTCATTTTAATCACAAGAACCATAGGAAAAGCTATTTTTGTTATGGAAAAATCGAAACCTGGCTACTACCATAAATTGACCCCCCTAAAAAAAAAAAAATAATAATATATATATATATATATATATATATATATATATATATATATATATATATATATATATATATATATATATATATATATATATATATATATATATATATATATATATAATACTTATAATTAAAATATAAATCTGCCACTTCTTTTAAAATACTTTCTATAATGAAAAGAACGTGAAAAAAAAATTAACGAAATCAAACAACTCCGTCTGGTGGCAGTGCTGTTCTCAGAAATTACCTAATAAGTCCAGTATTAGTTACCATACAACATTGTGTAGTACTTAGAAAAAATCGAGCAGGTTTATTTTAATTCTGTACAACTCTGCAAGCTTAAAATACAATGGGATGGTCCCAGATTATGGAACACATACAGTTGTAACTGAATATCTTGCTGTATTTTTCATGTTACCTAACCAAATTATCTTTTCAGGGTTATGCACTTAAGTAATTTATAAAAATGTGCTGTTACAAAAGTGTTCACAACAAGCATACATCAATCAAAATTTGACTCCACTTCGTTCCCAAATATTTCGTGTGTGAGTCACGATGTACTTGAGACCCCAAGTGTCTATGTTAATTAACCTGCTAATCTTGACACACAATTTAAGCGAAATTCCACTTCCATGTTGTATAACCTTTAACATGAAGAATATTATAACAACAGGGATTTAAGATACGTTTGTGTGGTATCTTTCATAATATTAGTAAGATACTTGACACGCAAACTGGTAAGATGATAGAAATGTTAAGGTTAAAACTCTCCACGAACTCTGCTGTTCTTCACTGAGAATACCAGCTAGGAAGTACAACACAAGGCCCAGCTTACCCAGTGCCAACATCTACGATACATGGAGGTAACCGACCCGTCATTTTAGAATAATATAACCCCAGGTGCAGAGGGTGACCAGCTAGGACTGTTATCTGTGGGTGTAAACACTTCCGTCGGCGTCAAGTGGGTCTCTCATACCTCCCAGGACCACACTCGGCTCTCATTGGCTCTCCTACTCTGACGTCATTGTGAGAGCCATGATGAAACTTGTCTCTCATTGGCTCTTGACTCTGACATTACAGGGAGAGCCAATACTGTACCCGACGTTCATTGGTTCCCCCCTCCTGACATCATCATTTTGAGAACCAATACCAAGTTTCTTTCTTGCTGGTTCCCACTTTTAAAGCCCCCTGGCGACCCAACCAATGGCAAACTCATTGATAGAGAAAGAAATGTATTGATAAAAGCAAACTGAAGTGAAAAATCGAGGTGGAATTCTTTATTTTTCTGTATTCAACATTAGATAATGACAATTTCAGTATATAGAATTAGAGTGGACCCGAAGAGACTACCATTTAACTCCTCTCGGCTCTCTATGTCAAATTTATGAGTCCAGTTGTGAAAAAATATTATATTTTTAATATCTTGAAAATATTGAAACATATGTCTAAACTAATTCAAATTTAATTCATACTTGGAAGCAGAGTAAAGGACACTTAGAACTTCGAAATCATCATATATATTGGGTGAGTAAGAGAGGTTAACCCACTATTCCCTCCCGGCTCGCTAACTGATGGGCGGTCGGTCATTTCTGTTACTCACTGAAAATATTGGTGATGGGTTGTGTGTCGGCTGTTTATTTACATGTTTTGCGCCGCCACGTGGAGGTAGATATAAACTTGGCTTGAAACGTCATCCACTGCAGTGCTGTGTGGGGGGAAAACAGGAAATGATAGAGCTACAGCCTACCGGTAAGGTTCCATTGCTTCTCAAAGGTTAGAAAAGGGTTAGGTCATAGTTATGTGGTTGATTCATAAGCAGTCAATTGACGGTTTGCGGTTTAATTTATTATTTCACCCCTTATCTTACTAGCCATTCGAGTGGCTGTGAATTGAGTGTCCAGTAGCGCCCATCGAGTAACCCCCTTCCTTTTATAATTGTTTCTAGTGTAATTGTATCTAATTTTCAATGAATTTGCATTTAGAAATGCAGGAAACCAGTAGATGAAAAGCAAGAGCAAATATAGGTATTCATTTCCATGTGCGATAATTTAGACGGTCAAATGGTGACCTAATTGAAGTTTATAAACATCTCAGAGTCCTCTAAGCCAGAGGGCTCTACTCTGTGACCGCCCGTCCCACAAGGAGGCACAGCTCAGGTTGAAGAAGCCTCAACTCTGAGAGCTAACTTTTTCGGAGTGAGAATTGTAAACTCTTGGAACAATCTGCCAGTGTTGTGACCGCACTAAGTAAGAACTCTTTCAAGACCAGACTTAACCAACACTGGCACAGGTAGATACATTTAGGAGCCAGTATTTGTCAACAGTGCGAGGTTGAATGAATATACGAGTATGAGCAATAGGGGTTGGATGTAAACAGGACTGCCCAATATGGGCCAATAGGCCCACTGCAGTTTCCTCCATTCTTATATTCTTATTTTAACAGAGATGTGACCCTGCGCCCAAGTGGCTCACAAACTGATCAGTGGCAAAGAGGATAAAAGTAAAATAGTAAAAGATGTAGTGGTCCGTGTTTATGTATCTCATATCCCCTGTATGAGCGAAATACAAAGTTAAATTGGCTGTTACTTTTTTCCTATTAATTTCTGGCTAAGAGGGGGGTCTGAAATTGCCAAATAATCAGTCACTTGAAAGCACATATCCATGCACTTTTATGATAAGTTGAGGCACTCCCATTGATAGTGACAAATCAACCAAGAAAAAGGGCATAGATAAAAACACTGTTTTTTGTTCAGCTTAAACCATTTGGTTTAAATTGGCCAACCCTGGTACTTACCTTCCTCTTTGTTACTCTCCACAACATTATTGAGATGCCTCAAGTTGTTAATTTACATTATTTACTGTTTTCTATGACTTGTCTCTGACTGTGCCATCACTGTATGACAACATTTTGTTATGACTTTTCTGATCCTTTAGCACCAGTAACTGTTTAAGTTTTGCCACTAATATGAAGCAGCATGAGTTAATATACTTCAGTGTACTGGCTGAGGTTCACTTTAAGTCCACTACTCCATTTCTTGATATCATTGACGGAATCTTCAGCAATACACTTCCTCGTTTTGCATAGAAATTGATTCTGGCGTTAGAACAAAGGGAAGAGGAGTTAGACAATCACTCACCAGGCAGACTACAGTAACCACTCACCTGTTAAACTAAGCTTGACTATAACCTATTGAGCCAAGGCAGTTTTAGTTAAGATAATGTACCTGTAGTCTCCTTAATTAGTGGTTCACAAACTCCTAACTTCCACCTCGGGATTTACTTTCTGGCCATTGATAAAAAGAAGTTTATAGTGAATTTGATTTGGAAAAGTAACAAGAAATAAAGTGTAGTTAAACTAAACATTTACCTATAAACTGTTTCCTCTGATTTTGTCACAGTTGTTATTCTTATTACACTGCACGCCTTGTTAGTCTTTACAATACAGTGTTGTGATATATCAGCATGGTGTTAGGTGATGTATACATATTACACAATATCAGTAATAGCGTCCCACTTTCAGAACTCTATGAAAATAAGGATAGATACTTTTATTTTATGTTTATCCCATTTGGTCAACTCTTACTACTGTATATTGTCTTGGAAGGTTAATTACAGTACAGACTCATTCTCATATACATTATAGTTACCTCAATCTTTTTTTTCTTTGATTATTTATAAACAGACAATTGGTGAAAATATGTGAATTAATTTGCTTTTGGGACAGTTTCTGCTTCAGCCTAACTAAGCCTCTATCTGTGTGATGATCCAGTTAACTTATTGTAACTATTTGAACACTACAAGTACTATATGTTACCCACTTACCTCTGTGTATTTTTCATTTAGATAAAGTTTGTTGGATTCAGATGAAACCTTTTCATAACTATGGATAATTTTTAAAACTAATTTACTTTACTGCTTTAATATCACAGCATCACATTTAATAATATTTGAATGGTGTTTTTCATCCACACACTTTAATTCAGGTGTAAAATTTGTGTAAAGAAACACTATGTGGTTAAGCATGGAGATATATGAGCATTATTAATATGTACAGTACTCTAGGTCCATATACAGTACCAAATATTCATCATACTTTATTCTTTATTACATCAATACAGACTTATTTAATGTTTATTTCTTCATTTAAGTGAGTTTTTAACTTAACGTGTTTGTAATTTATCTCCTGTGACTTTACAGCAAATAAAACCTGATGAGCACTACCTCAAGATGATTGAATACCATCTGAGCAAACTGGAGAACCTGCAAAAATTTAGTACGTAGTCCCAGCTGCACTAGGACATTCAGACAAAGCATCCTTCAATGGTTATGCCTGTGGTGGTGTTCTGCACACGGGGCTAATTTCAACTTGTTGGATGCATTGGAAAATTAAGAAACTGAGGTATAATTCAAACATTTGGATCTCCATGTTGAAATATTGCTGATTAATTTAACATTGCCAAAAATGGCCAAATTAACATGAAGTCCAAATTAGAGGGGTTCAGCTGTAGATAGAATATAAGTACATTAAAGAAATGATAGTAGATGGAGTTGGTTTATCAGATTTATCAAAGGGTTTATGGAATAGACCAAACTTGTTGACAAAGTAGGTTTAAAAAAGGCACTACTGTACTAACATTTTGCACTTTTTGTTTCTTTTAAGTTTCTGCAAATTGGTATGCAATTTGCATTTTTTTAATTTATTCTTTAAGATTTTCGTATTTCCCACTACATCTACCAATCTGTGGATTAATTCATGCTAAAACTCATTGTTAGTACAACCTACTTGCTTGCAAAATTAAATTTTTGTCTTCTAATTTAAAAATTTTTTTGCAGGGAGCTGTGGTAGAGGGATCTGAAGATTGTTTACTGATAGATGTCTCCACACCCCAACTTGGGTATGACTCACCACTTCCAGTAATAGTTTATGTTGGAGGAGCTAGTTTGGGTGGAGACACACAAAGACCCTGGCTACTTACTAAGGCTGCAGGTCTAGCCAAAACCAAACATGTAGTGGTTTTGTTACCACAGGTTCGTCAGGGACTTCTGGGTTTCTTCCCTCATCCAAAATTGGCAGCATCAACCTACCCTCACACTGCAGGAAACCAGGGGGTGTCGGACTTGTTAACAGCACTCACCTGGGTGCAGCACAACGTAGAACATTTTGGTGGTGACCCAGAGCAAGTGACGTTCTTGGGACATCAAGCAAGAGCCGCAATGGCATGGCCGTTTATTTCCTCACCTCAAGGACATAGGCTTGTACATTCTGCCTGGGTGACTGGCTCTGTACCTTTGTATCCAGAGATTCCATGACATGAAGCAGACCTAGAACTGGTTGATTCACTTAATTGTTCAACTGTGATGTGTCTCGAGTCCATCCCAGCCCGCACTGTGATGGAGGCTCCACCCCTGGAGTGGTGTCATCCTCAAGGCCACCCATGGCTATTGGCTGATGGTGTCATTGTTCCCTTTATCCCGTCCATGCCACAAGTGCCTCTCATGATTGGTAAGTTACTTTTTTTTAAACAAAAGAACTTAGAGTATTTTTGGTGTACCTAATACAATTGTCATGTATATTCTTGTACTGTACATTATTCCTTATCTCATACCAGACCTGATAAACTATATTTCCGTAAAGAGTATATTCAAAATATTCCCCAATCTCACTTATTAAATACATTGCATCTTCATGATTCAGTTTATGCAAAGTTACATACATTTAAGTACGGGTAAACCAACATCCTCTGTGAAAATGGATTTTTAAAGCTCAATAAACCTTATACAGTACATGCACCCAGTGAATTGAACTCTCATATTTCTGGTTGCAACAAAGTCTCGATTTTTCTTCTCACAATAAGATGGAAAAGTACATACTTAGCAAAGCCATGAATAAAATAATGTATTGCATATTTACTTACTGTAATATAGCGCATTGAAAGTTGCATGATATAGCGTCGGTTGCATCATTCAGCACTAACCCGAATCACCAGTGGAACTGCTTACTCTGTATGATGTTTTACACTTTTGCCTCATATATTTTGTGGCCAGTTTCATTATTTCACTAGTGTAATCTTCTCTAAATTTACTTTTGGTACTGTCTTTTGAATCACATCATTCCGAAATTAGTTCTGTTTCTCTATCTATCGTTTCGATACACAGAAGAATATTACCTTAGGTGTGCCGACCCTCTCTGACCAAATGACACCCCCTCACTACTGGTACAAGGGCCTAACTGAGCATGTTGCAAGGCATATATTACTCCAGTAACTCTATAGGGTGCTATAGATATGATTGGCTGCCATATGTGGGTTGACACAAAGCACCGATGATATTAAATGTGCAAGATTTTTATGAGAATAATTGCAGTTGGGGGTGGGTAAATTTTAAACAGTATAATGGTACATTTTGCCACAGTACAAGGGGTCAAAGTGGGCTTGTAATATATTGTTAATAATGGCTCAAATTTATATATATTCACAAATGACTTAGTTGACATGTTATGTACTAACTACAGTACAGTACTAATATAATGTTAGAAATTTTTAATCCTTACCTATATTGAAAAATCATCAATATTCCATTACTGTACTTAAGTCTATCACTTAAAAAAAAATTAAGCATAAGTTTCAACCAATAATAAGTACGGTACTGTACTCTCCAATTTAATGTCCTGCATGCTATTTGAGTTGCACTGTAGTCTTGTGCAATAGACTTCTCAGATGTGATCTAAATTTAATCAAGAGCTTTTACCAATTTAATTTCTGGTACTGTACTTATAATCTTAAGTCATTTGTTGTCAGTATGATTTTACAGTTAACCACTTCCATTTTAGGGTCAACTGAACAAGCAGCCACACATTTTCTGTGTTCTTGGCAGGAACGTCTTGGCATCTCACATCAGCAACTTCTTGTTGCAGCTGTTGACGGTTTGCGACTGAATGAAGTTAATTATGGACAGCCAGTGTGGTCTGGTAGTCCTGCATATGGTCATGTTAACTGGCCAGCAGATAAGGGTGTTCAAAATGTCTGGCCCAGCCGCACAGGTGAGCAAGGCAGTTAGCCTCAGCCTCCAAGAAATGATGAGAGTTCAGAATTAGGCAGCATAAAACCAGGATCAACAGAGGCAGAGGCTGCCTTGGAATGGTATTCTAATTTGAAAGATGATCCTTGGCTTCTCCTTACCACTTTAGTATCTGATGCTACTGTTACATGTCCTACCTTGGCCACTGCTGAAAAACTATCTAGGACACTCTCTCATAATCATCCCACTGGGACTGAAGATGTACCTGTTTATGCTTATGTGTCACGCCATGCTCGGGTTAGCCGAGCTGGAGCTGTGGCAGATGGATTGTCTGATATCGAGTCAATTTTAGGAGTATTTCAATCTCAGACTGACGAAGATGTCCAATATGCTCGCACTATGCAGGACTTGTTTTTTTCTTTGTGAACTATGGCTCCCCAGAGTGGCAGTCTCCCACACCTGCTCACCTGGGAGTGTACATGTTAGATGGAAATATAAATGTGGAACATTCAAGACTCCAGTGTGAACATTGGTCCAACTCCTCCCACTTAATGAGAAGATTTTAGTGAATTACAAATTCTATCAAATAATTCCTTAAAGTATGAAATACTTTATTCATTATTTTGCTGGGATGGACTCCTGATACTTTTAAACTTTGTTTGCTTTTTTCTAGGGGGAAGGGGGGGGGGTTTAGATTGTGAAAAGTTGAGTATACTCATGTGAATATAAAAATTTATTGCATAGGTTTCCCCAGTAAATTTTGCATAGATTAAAGTTTTCTGCTTTATAAAATATTGTAGCTCAATTTATTATTTAAATTACCATTACCACTGTGCCTTTTGATATACAGAAATCATTGCAGGCAAATTTACAGTTTTCTCAAAGATGGATGTCTTAGTAATAACCTGAGAATACCTGTAATGACAGTCTTGAAACCAATGATTTAGTACCTACCTCAAGAAGGTTCTCTAGCTAGTTAATCATTGGGATAATGACTTGAAATTTGTGTATTGCACATAAATATGTTTATTTGAGAGATCTTTTGTAGATTCTCATAGTATTAGAAAAGTGAAATGACTACTGCCGAGCAATATAACACTGCCACATTGCCTCTGATCTCACTGTGACTTGTAATGCAGGAACCCAAGTCTTTCACCAGCTCGTGTCACAAGCCAAAGATAATGAGCTAAGATGGTGGATAAAGGTAGGCTGCTAATTTGGGGTTAATGTTCTGGGTTGAAGAACTGTACATAAATATTTTAAAAGAAAATAATAGATAAGCTTTTATTGTTTTTAATGTGTGAAGCATAGCTATTTGTCTGACCAAATTATTCTGCTTAAGGAATTGATATAAGCAAGTATCTGTGTGTAATAAAGTCTTAGATTGGGTTTATCAGTATTTTTACACCTATTTTTATATTCCATAACTGCTCCCAGTATAATCAGTGATAAATGTAATGAAGATTAACAAAGGTAATTTATTTCATTTTCATAGAACAATGACTAAAAATTTCCCAAATTTAAGCAGACCACCTGAACCCCTCTGACTTAGCCGATACTACAAATTGTACAGTAAATGTAACACTTTACCGTGAAAAAATATGAATATAACTTGATGGGGGAGAAGGGTGATTTTGAGGTTGATAACATCGAGCTTCTCTTCAAGTGTTATAGCCTTTCTTTTACGATCATCACCGGGAATGCGATCACCAGAACGCTTCTTGGAGATATTCTTTTTTACCATATTCACAGTTAATACCACAAAATTGGAGAAATAGTAAGCAAAAATCGCTTTACAGCAAACAAGCGTTCGCGTTATACAAATATCGTTCCTCTATTCATAAATCGCGTTAGAGCCAATTCGCGTTGTCAAAACGCGTGTTATAGCAGAACTCACTGTATATATGTATATACACAGCTTTTTTCTTAGTCAAGTTCTTTGATGGGATTGAGAGAAAAATTTGCTTTGGCTCTTGTCCCATTTGAGAACCCTAATTAATACCTGTGATATGTCTTCTTTTGTATAGGAATAAACACTGTTGATTGATATACAGCACTTGTTTTCTTAACCAACCTTACTATATTGGCCTTAAAAGAACACCAAGGCTATATAGCCTTACCCGGGTGGGTCACAGGAGCCCCCACTGCCTCTGAGTGGGTCCCTGGGGTCTCCACTGCTCCTGGAGGGATCTCAGGGGCCCCAGCCACCCCTAGGAGGTTTCCTGCCACACCTGTGAGGGTCCCTGGGAGTGCCATCCCTGTAGGGTCTCTGTGGTGCCCCCTGGGACCCTCCAAGGTGCGTTGGAGACCCTCCCAGGGACGGCAGACCCCCTGGAACCCTCCCACGGACGGCGGGGGCCCCAGGAGCCCTCGTAGGGGCGGCAGGGCCCCTGCAACCCTCCCAGAAGTGGCGAGGGTACTCAGGACCCTCCCAATGGCGCTGGGTGCCCCTGGTACATTCCCAGGTGTGACGGCGCCTCTTGGGACCCTCGCAGGTTAGGCAGGGCCTCCCGAGACCCTCCCAAGTACGGCGGGGGTCCCTTGGGCCCTCCCAGGAGCGGTGGGGGCCCTTGGGACACTGCAGGGGCGCAATTTTAGGGGCCCTATAACCTACCTGGTCGTGCTTTGGTACATGTTACATACGCCCATCAGTTCCTTACCTAACTGTAATTGGTGGACTAAAATATATACTCACCAAATTACAGTCAATAGGAGAAGAGAGCAGTCAGTCAGCACAACACCCCAACTTATGTTTTCCTGTTGGATATTATTCTCCATTCCGTTGTTAAGTAGGTGATAATACTGGAAATGTGATGATGGGCGTTGTAGTTACAGCTCCCAGCGTTCTAAATAGTGCAAAAACAGCTGCCCCCAGAGCACCTACAGGGCTGGCTCTACCAGGGCCTATCTCATTTGCGGAAGGGAACCTCCTAGGCGTGGCTAGGTCACTTAGGACCTTTCCAGGGGCAGTGGAATCCCCAGGGACCAACCCAGAGGCAGCAGGGGCCCCTGGGACCCAACCAGATAAGGTGGTGCCCTCTGAGACCCTCCCAGGTGCGTTGGGGACCCTCCCGGGGGCGGGTGGGACCCATTTTACCCTCCGAGGGATGGCAGCGCCTCCTGGAACCCTCCCACGAATGGCGTGGACCCCAGGAACCCTCCTACGGGAGGCAGGGCCCATGCAACCCTTCCAGAAGCGTCGGGTGTACCAGGGACCTTCCCAGGGGTTGGTGGGGGCCCGTGGTACCTTCCCAGGTGTGTTGGTGCCCCTAGGGATCCTCCCTGGATAGGCGGGTCTCCCTGAGTCCCTCCCAGGGATGGCAGGGGTCCTTGGGACCCTCTAAGAGGTGGCAAGGTCTCTGGGACACCCCAGGAGCCGCACTTGCTGGGGCCCTATAGCACACTTATTCGCGCTGTGGTACATATTATATACGTCCATCAACTCCTTACCTAACTGTGATTGGTGGACTAAAATAAAACCCCACCAAATTATCAGCCAATAGGAGAAGAGATCAGCCAGTCAGCACAACACCCCATCTTATGTTTTCCTGTTGGATATTATTCTCCATTCCGTTGTTAAGTAGGTGATAATACTGGAAATGTGATGATGGGCGTTGTAGTTGCATCTACCAGCGTTCTAAATAGTGCAAAAACAGCTGCCCCCAGAGCACCTACAGGGCTGGCTCTACCAGGGCCTATCTCATTTGCGGAAGGGAACCACCTAGGCGTGGCTGGGTCACTTAGGACCTTTCCAGGGGCAGTGGAATCCCCAGGGACCAACCCAGAGGCAGCAGGGGCCTCTGGGACCCAACCAGGTAAGGTGGTGTCCTCTGAGACCCTCCGAGGTGCGTTGGGGTCCTCCCAGGGGCGTGTGGGACCCATTTTACCCTCGGAGGGACGGCAGCGCTTCCTGGAATCCTCCCACGGATGGCGTGGTCCCCAGTAACCCTCCTAGGGGCGGCAGGGCCCATGCAACCCTTCCAGAAGCGTCGGGTGTACCAGGGACCTTCCCAGGGGTTGGTGGGGGCCCCTGGTACCTTCCCAGGTGTGTTGGTGCCCCTAGGGATCCTCCCTGGATAGGCGGGTCTCCCTGAGTCCCTCCCATGGATGGCAGGGGTCCCTGGGACCCTCTAAGAGGTGGCGAGGTCCCTGGGACACCCCAGGAGCCGCACTTGCTGGGGCCCTATAGCACACTTATTCGTGCTGTGGTACATATTATATACGTCCATCAACTCCTTACCTAACTGTGATTGGTGGACTAAAATAAAACCCCACCAAATTATCAGCCAATAGGAGAAGAGATCAGCCAGTCAGCACAACACCCCAACTTATGTTTTCCTGTTGGATATTATTCTCCATTCCGTTGTTAAGTAGGTGATAATACTGGAAATGTGATGATGGGCGTTGTAGTTACAGCTCCCAGCGTTCTAAATAGTGCAAAAACAGCTGCCCCCAGAGAACCTACAGGGCTGGCTCACCAGGGCCTATCTCATTTGCGGAAGGGAAGCTCCTAGGCGTGTCTGGGTCACTTAGGACCTTTCCAGGGGCAGTGGAATCCCCAGGGACCAACCCAGAGGCAGCAGGGGCCCCTGGGACCCAACCAGGTAAGGTGGTGCCGTCTGAGACCCTCCGAGGTGCGTTGGAGACCCTCCCAGGGGCGGCTGGGACCCATTTTACCCTCCGAGGGACGGCAACGCTCCTTGGAATCCTCCTACGGACGGCGGGGGCCCCAGGAACCATCCTAGGGGCGGCAGGACCTGTGCAACCCTCTCAGAAGCGTCGTGTGTACCAGGAACCTTCCCAGGGGTTGGTGGGGGCCCCTGGTACCTTCCCAGGTGTGGTGGTGCCCCTAGGGATCCTCCCTGGATAGGCGGGGCTTCCTGAGTTCCTCCCAGGGATGCCAGGGGTCCTTGGGACCCTCTAAGAGGTGGCGAGGTCCCTGGGACACCCCAGGAGCCGCACTTGCTGGGGCCCTATAGCACACTTATTCGTGCTGTGGTACATATTATATACGTCCATCAACTCCTTACCTAACTGTGATTGGTGGACTAAAATATAAACCCGCCAAATTATCAGCCAATAGGAGAAGAGATCAGCCAGTCAGCACAACACCCCAACTTATGTTTTCCTGTTGGATATTATTCTCCATTCCGTTGTTAAGTAGGTGATAATACTGGAAATGTGATGATGGGCGTTGTAGTTGCAGCTACCAGCGTTCTAAATAGTGCAAAAACAGCTGCCCCCAGAGCACCTACAGGGCTGGCTCTACCAGGGCCTATCTCATTTGCGGAAGGGAACCTCCTAGGCGTGGCTGGGTCACTTAGGACCTTTCCAGGGGCAGTGGAATCCCCAGGGACCAACCCAGAGGCAGCAGGGGCCCCTGGGACCCAACCAGGTAAGGTGGTGTCCTCTGAGACCCTCCGAGGTGCGTTGGGGTCCTCCCAGGGGCGGGTGGGACCCATTTTACCCTCGGAGGGACGGCAGCGCTTCCTGGAATCCTCCCACGGATGGCGTGGTCCCCAGGAACCCTCCTAGGGGCGGCAGGGCCCATGCAACCCTTCCAGAAGCGTCGGGTGTACCAGGGACCTTCCCAGGGGTTGGTGGGGGCCCCTGGTACCTTCCCAGGTGTGTTGGTGCCCCTAGGGATCTCCCTGGATAGGCGGGTCTCCCTGAGTCCCTCCCATGGATGGCAGGGGTCCCTGGGACCCTCTAAGAGGTGGCGAGGTCCCTGGGACACCCCAGGAGCCGCACTTGCTGGGGCCCTATAGCACACTTATTCGTGCTGTGGTACATATTATATACGTCCATCAACTCCTTACCTAACTGTGATTGGTGGACTAAAATAAAACCCCACCAAATTATCAGCCAATAGGAGAAGAGATCAGCCAGTCAGCACAACACCCCAACTTATGTTTTCCTGTTGGATATTATTCTCCATTCCGTTGTTAAGTAGGTGATAATACTGGAAATGTGATGATGGGCGTTGTAGTTACAGCTCCCAGCGTTCTAAATAGTGCAAAAACAGCTGCCCCCAGAGAACCTACAGGGCTGGCTCTACCAGGGCCTATCTCATTTGCGGAAGGGAAGCTCCTAGGCGTGTCTGGGTCACTTAGGACCTTTCCAGGGGCAGTGGAATCCCCAGGGACCAACCCAGAGGCAGCAGGGGCCCCTGGGACCCAACCAGGTAAGGTGGTGCCGTCTGAGACCCTCCGAGGTGCGTTGGAGACCCTCCCAGGGGCGGCTGGGACCCATTTTACCCTCCGAGGGACGGCAACGCTCCTTGGAATCCTCCTACGGACGGCGGGGGCCCCAGGAACCATCCTAGGGGCGGCAGGACCCGTGCAACCCTCTCAGAAGCGTCGTGTGTACCAGGAACCTTCCCAGGGGTTGGTGGGGGCCTCTGGTACCTTCCCAGGTGTGGTGGTGCCCCTAGGGATCCTCCCTGGATAGGCGGGGCTTCCTGAGTCCCTCCCAGGGATGGCAGGGGTCCTTGGGACCCTCTAAGAGGTGGCGAGGTCCCTGGGACACCCCAGGAGCCGCACTTGCTGGGGCCCTATAGCACACTTATTCGCGCTGTGGTACATATTATATACGTCCATCAACTCCTTACCTAACTGTGATTGGTGGACTAAAATATAACCCCGCCAAATTATCAGCCAATAGGAGAAGAGATCAGCCAGTCAGCACAACACCCCAACTTATGTTTTCCTGTTGGATATTATTCACCATTCCGTTGTTAAGTTGATAATACTGGAAATGTGATGATGGGCATTGTAGTTGCATCTCCCAGCGTTCTAAATAGTACAAAAACAGCTGCCCCCAGAGACCCTACAGGGCTGGCGCTACCAGGGACCCTCCCATGTGCGGCAGGGAACCTCTTAGGAGTAGCCAAGGCCCTTGAGACCCTCCAAGGGGCAGTGGAGGCCTGAGGGACCCACCCAGAGGCAGCGGGGACCCTAGGGTCCGAAGCAGGTAAGGTGGTGCCTCCTGAAACAGTCCCAGGTGCGTCGAGGACCCTTCCAAGGGCGGCTGGGGCCGATTGGACCCACCCAGGGACGGCGGTGACCCCTGGATCCCTCCCAAGGGTAGCGGGGAATGCAGCAACCCTCCAAGAGGCTGCATGGCCCTTTCATCCCTCCCACAAGTGGTCGGGGTACTAAGGACCCTCCCAACGGCGGTGGGACCCCTTGATACCTTCCCAGATGTCACGGCACCCTCATAATTAAAAAAAAAAAATTATCACCTCTTTTAAAATACTTACTATAGTGATAAGAACATCTGTGGAGAAAATGGAACAACTCCTTCTGGTGGTAGCGCTGTTCTCATAAATTACCGACACTTGTATGATACTTCTTCTTTGATCTAACCTAACGTGGAGCCCTCCAGGACCCCCTGGCAGATATACTATAAGTCATTTGTAAAGATCTCCGAGAGCTTAATAAATAATGTATTGCTACTTTGTTTGATTTATTACCTACCTAACTTAGTTAGACTGGTTCATTCTATAATGTAGCTGATAATTCCTCTGTGCAAACATTTCTACATATTAACTGCATGTAGTAATTTTCATTCAGTTGAAAGTTAAATAAATATTGAAACCATAACCTACTTAGCCTCACACAATCTAACTTAGAATAGTTACCATTATATAATATAGAAAAAGGTAATAGTAGACCAGAGTGGTACAGCTGCTACCTATCAACAAATGAGGGAGGAATGTATTTTGTGGGATATCGAGTCTGATGTGCCTAATGGGCGGAGGAAGATGGCCAAACACGACCTTGACGCGAGTACCACGATAAAACTGTAGGAGTGGTTCTTTTAGCAAAATTTATATTCGGAAAAGCATACTCCTCATAAATGTTTTGTCCTGCTCAGAGGGTAAGAACAGAAGTTAATTGGTATACCTCAAATGATTGGCTGGATTATGTCACACGGTTGCTTGGTATAGAGATAATTGATTGGTGGCCTGGAGTGACTCATAGTAACTAAGGATGTTGATTGGTGGCCTGGAGTGACTCATAGCAACTAAGGATGTTGATTGGTGGCCTGGAGTGACTCATAGCAACTAAGGATGTTGGTTGGTGGCCTGGAGTGAGTTATAGTAACTAAGGATGTTGATTGGTGGCCTGGAGTGACTCATAGTAACTAAGGATGTTGATTGGTGGCCTGGAGTGAGTCATAGTAACTAAGGATGTTGATTGGTGGAGTGACTGGAGAAGATTGTATACACAAGCCACTCAGGATCACTGGGGGGAAACGTTGCCGAGGAATTGGTAAAAATGTGTTTGGATGTGTGGCGTGGTGGAGGGGCGAACCTCGAGGGAGCCATCCACTGCACTTAGCTCTGTATTACACCCGGTATCCAAACTCAGGAAGTGGCATGGGTGTTCGCTTTATACTTGGTACCAAACATTACAGGGGGAAGTTGTGCTCTTATAAACTGATCCACGTACCAGTATGACCTGACCTGGGCTCTACCTGGGTAATTTTCTCGGCTGGAACCTCTCTATGACCTTCCCCCTCCTCTCCTCTTCCCTTTCCTCTCCTCTCCTCTTCCCCTTCCTCTGCTGTCTATACCCTTTTCTGTTTATCTTCTGTCTACTCTCTCTCTGTCTGCCTACCTCACCCTTCCCCTCCCACACGTCCCGGTGGTGTAGCAGGTATCAACTTAAGTAACCAGTGCTGGCCCGTGAAGTAAGCTGGATCACCGTGTAATTGTGGTCTTGCTATAGTGTAGTTATTACTGCTTAAGGGGATTGGGTGCGACACTCCTTTCTTGCCCAGATAAATGTACCTTTTTAACCATTGTTGAGGCGAGGCAGCACTGAAAACTATCATGCAGGGAGCCTTCAGTATTACGTGTAGGATCTTGGTGGTATGGTTCACCCACCACTTTCAGGAGAATCTAGCAAAACTGTTGAATATTTTTATAACTGTGGCAGTATGAGTGTCACGCGACTTGCCCGGGAGATAGATAAGTTGTTGCTTTTGTGTCTTTAGCGACTCTGGTGGCATTTCACGAGACACGGTGAAAAAAATATCAAGAACGTAAACCGAAAGGAACGGAGATTGAATAGAGTGTGAAGCAAAAGGAATGGACGAGGGAAGCAATGAAGACAGGGTGGTGGGAAAGAGTAAGAAACATGTGTTGTAAAGGGTGAGGGGTGGAAGACGCACTTAGACCCCTGGACCTACACTGTTCCAGCCTTTATTGGTGACGACACATTCCCCTGACGAGAAAATTGTCCTCAAGATGGATCTCATGAGGCGCGCGGACTGGGTGCAGGGAAGGATGCCCAGTGAGATGTTGACACACGGGGGGAAGAAAGATATAGTTGTTGGGGTCAGACTTAATGTGTCAGTCTGCCTAGTGCGATATGTTAGTCGTTCTGTTATTGTATTGTGTTATGAGTTATGAAGCAGGTGGACACCTTAACCTGAGCGAATAGTACATACTGCTAAGAAAAGGTAAATGGGGACATACCGTACACTGTGGGTTAACGCAGGGCAAAATCCGGCGTTGCACCAAAATCACTGGGTCACTGATAGTCAGCACAGCAAATAAGGCGATATAGGCTCAAAGAATTTACCTTCACCCTTCTCCAAACAACTCTACCACTAACCTATATTTCGTTCTTCATCTTTATTGTGATGGTGTGACCACCGAAACCTAACACTGCATAGACTAAATACAGGAGGGGGCCGAGAAATGTTTTTAATATATAATATTCAAATGAATACATTGTAGCGTGAAGATCATTTTACAATATGCACGACTAATTCCCAACACGTCAGGAGTCAGGACCATCTCCATGACTCCATCCCTAGTGGCCGTAACACTAGGCACTTCCCTTTGACACACCCTCCTCTTTATTGTTCTTATATAGGAAATTATTAAACGTTCTGTTCCCTCCAGCACACTAACGTAATTATATTCAAGATTGTAGGACACTGTTAGTGATTTGTACCATAGACTGTGGACTTATAGAGTAGAGCTTCCAGGCGCCCTTGTATACTTTTATATAAGTCCTGTGACTTGTGTAGTCCCGGCCTGTGATATTCCATTTACAGTATTTTGATCAGTTGTTGAACTGAAGCTCTGTTGACGTGGTAATTTGTATTGAATGCTGAGATTAAGGTAAGAAACCAAATAAATCCTTTCCTTTACCCATGGGTTATATTTTCTTAAATAAAATGCAAATCCAACGATTGATAAATGGTGAATTGACAAATTACATTGGGGTGTGACGTTAACACTTACAGAACATTATAGTTGTAGTCATGTATGATGATGCTCAGTCTCATGTCCTGTGTCTTTTTATTGTCGGGAACAATTCAAATAAAAAAGTATTTAAATGGAACCAATTATCTTTATAATAAAGTTTAAGAAATCATTAGCTACATTATTTCTTTGGTTAACATTGAAGACAGAAAATATTGATGTAAACGACAGTATTGTGAGAGTCAACGACCACGGGAGGAAAATGTCAACATTGAGGCTGACAGGACGCTTCAAAACACTGGCTCATGGTTTAATACCGGTAACATTCACAGACTTTATCTCCTTGGTTTATCCCTAGTTTGTTTATTCCGTAGATATAAGTTGCCAGTTTCGTTATTTCCTTATACAATTACCCCCTATAAGAATAAAATGTTAAAAAGATTGGAGTGGAAATAACACGATAGATAGTAAGGGGCGGACAGCAGTGTTTGGGGCGGATAATGTCAAAGATTATTGAATTACATTTTTTAAATTTAGGAAGAAAATGGTAATACCTACAGTTAATGAGCATAGAAATTGTCACTAAATTTGGTCACCTTTTCTTTAAGGTTTGGTAAACACTTTCTGAATGCTGGTGTAACGTGTTAGCCTTATGTGTCGAGTCTCCTTATGAATAGGAATCCGGAGTTGTTTTCCCCGAAATGTGTATATTAATACATAGAATGCAAATCCAGTGGCATAATAAGGAAAAACAAATGACAAATAAGCCAAGTGCCTATAATGTTGGCGCTTTGGTTGGTTGACCAAAACAGTTAATGAATTTGTCTGATTTTAGCTTGATTAGACCATTAGGTAATATTAAAGGACAGAGGTCCAGGTTAACCAGTTACCCCCAAAATATATATATTTACATTATCATTTCACCACTTATAAGCTTATATTGGTGAGAGAGAGGCACGTTGATGCTGTATCACCAAGTTATTATTTAGCTACTTCAAAAATAAATTAATTCAGGTAGAGAATTTTTTTGGGTACTGTCCCATCCATCCGTTGAAGTTGTTTATGCTTCAACTCTTTCTGTGTGACCGGGAACATTTAATAGACATTAATGTTACTCCATTTCATCCTCGTCGAGAAACAGCAGCTTTACACAATTTTTATAAAATGACAAAAGTATTACAGCATTATTATTTCATGTAACAGGCAAGATGCTGTATCTGTGGAGAAGGAGAGTACGGCATTTACTACAAAGAATTTATAACTTCCCTCGGGACACAAGGTGAGGAATGAATATTGAATTGTACCTCACTGCTACTCAGAAAAAGTTAGAATATTTTAAATGTTTATAATGAGTGTTTCGTCTGACCTAGATGATGACCATAATAATGACTGACACTTTTGTTCGATATTTTAAGTAAGAAAAGAACGTGAAAGAATATACAGCACAGTACAGGGTACAGAATACGTAAATCACTGGATTACCATAACCTTTTTTCATTTTAAAATTCTCATTACCTGTAGTTACCTTTTTTTTTCAACCTGCAGGAAGTGGGTCAGGTGGAAATATGAACTCTTCATTTTTACCATGACGGCACTATTCTACAATGAATTTGTAAATATGGGATACTGTCTGGAGGTGATGATGGAGCCTATGGTATGGGTGGTCGACCACTTCACCAAGATCCTCGGACCTGTGAGTGTTACGAACATTGTTGTTAAAGAATTATAATTTTTAAAGAGATTCTAATTATTGTTGTCAGGTTAAAAAGTTTAATCAGTTTATGCTTTATCAGAATTAAAGCTACAGTACATGGCAACACAGTCTTCAGGGTTATTCAACAATACCTAAACTCATTCAGTCTCATTTTCAGTTTTATTCCTGTACTGTACTATCAAATGTTAGGGAGACCAAACTAAATTGTTTCATTCTGTATGTTTTTTATAAATTATTCAAGAAGCATGATTGCATTATTGATCACAGACTAAATAGAAACAGTTTACAGGTATATATGTGATTGTGAAACACATTGTAGGTGTTTGATATCATACAATACAGTTTGTGAGTGATCTTTAGTAATATAGAATGTGTGTTAAATTGTCTGCTATCATTGACATTCAGCTACCTCTCAGTACCGGATGGGCATGTGGTTTTGAATCCATAAATATACTGTAGGATGTGGTTTTAAATCCTTGTCAGTAGTGTATAGTATGTGATGGTTAGATACCGATAATGTGTACAACCATTGTTTTACAGATCCTCGTCTTCGGGGTAGTATCACTAACGAGCTCGGTGGTCTCTATAGTGTATATTATTGGTCTGCCGTACTATTGGGAAAAGTCGCCAGAGCTCACCTGTTTTCTAATGGTGTTAGGGCACTGGATACTGATTAATGTCATCTTTCACTTCATAATGGCAGCCATTACCGAACCAGGTACCCCCCAAAAGGTGAGTTTTTTTTTTTTTTTTAACAGCTTGTCAACTATTGTGTCTTCAGATTTGAGGTTTTAATCTGTTAAAACTTATATCTCCAGGATATATTTTTAACCTTTTTAATAAGTGTATGTATATTATGTACTTCCTTTGTCTATATGCATGCTGAATTATATACCTGTATTGTCTATGCAAACAGCTACGACATTACCAGGTCTCCACCTCTACCCCTACCCTCCCTCTCTCCCTCCTGGCAGAATTCTTTTTGTTCCACAACTATATAATATTGTACAGTCTGTATTTGTATTATAATCTTTGTATAGTTTCCTGTATATATCACTCCAATGCTGACTGACTAGAGAAGAACACATGGATTATTACATCTGAAAAATAAATCTATAAATAGGTACAGTACAGTGGTTTAGATCATAACAGCATGTATAAGAAACTTTTAGCTAGAAGAAATATATCATGGCAAAAAATTATAACTACTGTATTGTCATAATTAAATAAATTTTCTATTGTTTATATCACCTAAAATTATAAACATTCACGTTACAGTACAACTCTATAATTTTACATAACAGGAAAAGATTCTGAATAACAATATAATAATAATATACCTGTATTATGAAATACTGTACTATAAGAGTGTCATCAGCACAAAAACAACAAAAAAAGTGTTTATTAAATCCCACCTGTAGCTAAGGAAGTTATTATTTACAGGGTATTTTAATCTCTGAAGCAGTAAGTGTATGCAAAAAGTGCATAGCACCTAAGTCACCTCGCACTCACCACTGCTCTGTGTGTAATCGCTGCATCCTCAAGATGGATCACCACTGTCGTATCCTTTTATTGCTACAGTGTTGACAGAGACCAGTTGCCTGGACACAATAAGGTTTGTATATTGCTTCATTTTGTTACACAAGACTCTGGTCCTCCTGTATTTCCAGTGCTTTCCTGTACTATTCATATGGTATCCTGCCAAGTACAGAGCATACAGTACAGTATATGATATGCATGTAAAAAATTATTTTGTAGGCATATTTGTAGGAAATTAGAAACTTTAAAATAACAGCATGATTATCCTCACAAAATATGGCTATACTAGTACTTAAATCAGCTGCTGGGTCGTGCATGTAGTTTCAGGGCTATTTTAACTTTAAAACTCCTCTTAATTTTGTATAAAATTATTGTTATTGAAAAAAGTATATTCCTCTATCTTCTATGTGGTTTTGACAAAATATGACTGGGAACTACGTGTATACCTGATGTAGAATTTGACAAATGTAGCATAAAATGACAGTGACCTGATAGGTGGCTCTCTTATAGATGTGAGAAGTCTTTTGAACATAATTGAAAGAACACTTTACTCCTCAAATGAATCCATTAACACAATCTTTTGTATACAGTTCTCACCAGATTTCAAGAGTATTTGTAGCATTTGCAGTGCTATGTCATTGGTAGTCCTGCATTAGGATAACCTTTGGTTGTTCAGTCATTTGTTCCTCTATCGGGCCTGAGTAAACTGTATACTGTACTGCACAGGTATTTAAATTTTAAACATGTACAAGGAAGAGTTCCTACCTGCTCATTGTTCCTGAATGTTGATGACATTGTACTGCATTATTTTTTTTAATCTGGTTATAGAAATTAGTTTACAAGACACTTCCTTAACTCTGTGAATAAAGCCTGGCTCAACAACTGTGTGGGACACTTCAACCATCGTTATTTCTTCATGTACATGGTATACATGACGCTGGGCACAGTTTTCATCATGTCACTTGGTTTAGAAATAGCGTATTACGAGATATGGCTGGGAGGAGAGACAGGTGGAGGGTTGATTGATGCCTTGGACCTTGTGTTGGAGGACCGCAGCTCACAGGAAGAGGAGGAGCTAGAAGGCTACCCAGTTAGAGTTAATGGTACACACATGATGCCTGTGGTAAGTTGTAAATCTCTTGTTTAAACACCTGCAGTTTGTGAGCTAACTGGTGTTGATATGCAACTTCTTTATTGGTGATTCCATATGGTTTTAATTTTTCTTTTCTTTTTGTGTGTGTGTAAGAGAAATAGGCATTCCAGTTGATAATTGGTACAAGTAATCTGATGGTCAGAATGGTCATTGAAGGGACCCAAATGCCATGTAAAAAGAGATTTGCTTAATGTGTCTCAATTGTTTTGGCATTTCGACTCTACCTATCACTTAACTTTCCCTGTGTCAATCTGTTCTGAAAGTACAGTTAACCTAGACTGACCCAACTCATGAAAAAGGTTAAATTTTCCATTAAATCCTCCCAATTAATTTGACAATTCTACAGTTTCTGAGGAAGATTTTTTCTCCAAAGCATAAAATTTTACCTTGGTTAGAGGAAGTCCCATATTTTAATCTCTGGTGTTCCAGCCACTCAAATCTTTATTGAGGCATAAGTTAGGACTTCTTGTAATTGACAAGAAACCTAAATTAGCCAAACATATTTAGGGTTTTATTGATTTTTCAGTATGGTGGCACAGTGGGTAGTCCAGTTCCTCTTGAGCCATCTGACAATGAAGCAGAAACAGAATTAGGAAGTTACTGGTATCGGTTTTCCATTATGTACACTGGAATGCTCACCACTGGTAGGTTGTTTCTTTATTTATGTTGTTTTAATAATTTAAGTTTCTTTTCTTCCTTTGGTACGTAGATTTTTTTTTTTAATTATAACCAAATACAGTACTGCATTCTTATAACCACTGATGATGTCTGATGATTATTATATTGGTGGTGATAACAATGGTGGTGATGATGGTGGTGATGATGGTTATAAGAATATTTCAGTTTCATTTATACTGTATAAAAAAGTGTACATTACAGCCATTGCTTGTCAGAAAAAGTTTTGAAAGCATTTTTTTTAATATTAACTTTACATTACCAATTTATCTTTCAACTCTTTTAAAATTAAAAAGAATAATATATACATCTTCACTCATAATTATATCATATATTTCCTTAGTACAGTAATGTAGTAACTGGAAGAATACTGTGTAATGTGTGTGTTTTTTTGGGGGGCAGGTGTGTTTTTCTCACTAGGTGGACTGGCCACTTGGCACGGCAGATTAATATCAAAAGGAGAAACCAGCATAGAAGCTCACATCAACAAGAAGGAGACAGAGAGACTGGAAAAAATCAACCAAGTAAGCTAATGCTATTTTATACACAGTACCCAACAAACCCTTAATTTGTGCAGATTTTGTCGACGAGATTTCTCTATTAACACGTCACTTACTGTCACAACTAAAATTTACAAATAAACAACTCTACTTTTTAGTTATGTGAATTATATATTTTAAGAACTAATTTCCCACTTAAAGTAACTCATGGGCGTTAATCCCCTCATGTAAATAAGAAATTAAATAGAAATGAAAATTTAATGAGAAAAAGTGTCTAGAAGTTTTGTCAAAGTTCTGTATAAATTAACCAACATCCCATTGTGACTGTGTGTGTGTATTAACCTATGCTATTAACATCTTCATTCCCAATACCTTCCTTGATTATCTTCTTCCTTCATACCTTCCTTGATTATCTTCTTCCTTCATACCTCACTTGATTATCTTCTTCCTTCATACCTCACTTGATTATCTCCTTCCTTCATACCTCACTTGATTATCTCCTTCCTTCATACCTCACTTGATTATCTTCTTCCTTCATACCTCACTTGATTATCTCCTTCCTTCATACCTCACTTGATTATCTTCTTCCTTCATACCTCACTTGATTATCTCCTTCCTTCATACCTCACTTGATTATCTTCTTCCTTCATACCTCACTTGATTATCTTCTTCCTTCATACTACCTTAAGGTACTTCATCAACACCTGTCATCACTATACCTCAACCTCATCACTGTCTCGTCTTCTCTCTCAGTGCAATAGTCTTCCTCTCTTTCTTTTGTCAAATAGTTTTTCTCGGTGACGTTCACCGTGAAATCATGCTAAACGAAGTAACTCTCAACAGGAGTACCGAAATCCTTATAACTTTGGAGTTACGGAGAACTGGAAAATATTCCTCGGAGTGACCCACGGCAGGTGAGTATATTCTACGTACGTTTATTTAATATAAGTTACAGTTAAGGATTCACAGTGTACATTATATATATATATATGGTATATGGGGATAGAGGATATAGTTAATGAGTTAAGTTTACCCTTACTATAACACGAGCAGTCACACGAGAATAGAACAGTATCAGACCTCAGATACCTGGAACCCATCTTGGGCTACATATGAGAGAATGATCACATAATATTCTTTGAAAAGTAGGAGGAAAGTTGAAATAAAGGTTAAGTTTGAGGTACGTACTTGAGAAATGTTTTTGTTTTTTCTAAGTAAGTGATACATACTATTGTTACATATGTTAGGTGACTGAAAGGTTTGAAGTGCAACACGGTTAAAAAAGCTACAATTATTTTCACAAGTGTAGCATGATGCTCTCAATTAGGACATAAAGGTTAAAAAAGAAAGGAACTCCTCAAACTGGGCTGTTTACTATTGACAAGGTTGATAAAACTGACCAAGAGATTGATATCCTATTTGTTAGATGATTGTAGTAAACTTAAAGTAGCTTATTTATCGAGCTAATGATAATTCAAACTTTTTTTTACCACAATTAGCAACATTTAAAATAACCTTTCATTAATTAATGTATTTGTCCCCAGGAAGATGAGCTGGTCACTTCATAGAATTTTTCCTTTTTATCTGTTTGCCTCTTTTGGCCAGGGTATTGTCATCATTCATGTGTGTGTGTGTGGAGGGGGTGCATGTATAATGTTATTGTACTTACTTGTTTCTCTTTACTGTTCATCAGAGGACTGCGACACATCCTCCTCCCATCGTGGCATCCACCAGAGGGAAATGGTCTCACTTGGCCCAATGCAATTATCACTGCTGCAAGTCATGACAAGGCTGCATGACATATAGTTTAGATGCTTCCTTAAGTTGTTTTGTTGATTGTTATACACCTTTTAACTTTGCTAGGAAAATCTTTCTTACATACAGTAAATGAATGACAATACTAATAATATAAATGTCTGTTCTGTCCAGTTCTTACTCTATAGTTACTACATATAAATGGAGGAAATGGCTTCCCAGTTATTGTTGTAACCAGCTAGAAGAACCCAACAAGTGTTTAGTATTGAATTGATTTTATATCTATGTTGTTAGGAATTACTTAATAGACAGGAGTATTTATATCACGTAAGTAGCGATCATCTCTATACAGGTGTTATTTTATTCGTTAGGAACTTTTTTCAGGTGGGAAAGTATAGGATCCATCTTGTCACCTAACCACAGACATCTCTCATCCACCATCAGCAGAGACTAGAGAATCAGCATAATCTTAATGATGAGGTTAAATGTGTACTGTATTGGACTTTGTATGATGTATTGTCCATCTACTTTAGTTTGCAGAGATAAACCAGGTGTATTAAAGTACCAAGTACCTGTACAGTAACTCCTAAGATAACATAAGGATGTAAGAGATTGGTACAGTACTTAAATGCCTCTGGCTTATTTATGAGGATTCTATAGAGAAGAACCTCTTTAGTTCACACACACACACCTTTGGGACCAAACATATAAATGTTGCAAACTAAAGATTGAGTTATAACATGGGTACAATGGACCTTGGGACATTGAACCCAAAATAGCAAGTATGTACAATATAGTACTTTACTGTACTTATATTTGGACCCAGAGGCATCACATATATAAAACAGCTTATGATACAAACAAGGTACAGTACCAATGACCCCAAGAACCCACATTAGTACAAACTTAAATACAGTATAATTGTATAATCTGTCCTCACCATCCAAAGGGCTGGACCATATAAGAGAAACAGATGAAGAGATAGATACAGTATATTTAGGTACAGTATAGAAGCCTTAAACCAGAATGTACCTAATGAACCTACAGTATTTAAAAAGAATAGAAATATACACGAGCGATGATTTTCTATGAAATTCTGTGATGATTATTATTTTAAATTATTGATACATTATATTCAAATTTGTTGGGGAGGTACCAGTCATATATATGATATAAAATTTTTCATTAATCCATTGTTTAAATATTCCGCTGTGAACTTCACACATTAAATGTCCATCAGGTACCTACAGTGTCTACTATTTCATGTCTTTAGTTTTGCAACACAATTTTAATAAGTTATCTGGTTAAAATATGTTTATGTTTAGTCCCATTAAAAAAAGTGGCAATTTTGTGGTGGTGCAACACTGACTGACTCACTACAGTTGCTGCCACACAGCAATACTGCTGCAGGTAGTTGTAATTTTGGTTGTAGGGATTTTTCAATGGTAATTTGTAACATTTGTTTATATTACCTAACAGCAAATACTGTATTTAAATTTAATCTTTTCCCAAAGTTTTATGTACTTTCAGTAACTACTTCAAAAAATTGGTCTCATTGCTATACCTGTACTTCCTGTAAATTGGAAACTTTTTTTTTTACCATAAAGGAATTAAAAATGAGGTGTGTACTCAGCTTACAAATATTTATGGCACTTAATCAAGTCTATAACATTTAGCTTTTATAATAAATACAAACTCATATACAGGCATTCCCTCCCTGATTTACAAAAGGATTCCCTTCCTGAAAAACTTATGTATATCAATTTTATGTAAACTGGATCACAAAACAACATCTTCATTAACTGCTACTGCCTTTATTATTTTTGTGCATACTTGTTTTAAATCACCAAATATTAGTAGCTTAATTAAGTGCCAAAATTATTTGTAAGTTGAGTAAATTTCCCTGCTGGCCATTATCTTCACCACCCAGCCCTCTCGACTTCAAAACCTTCTCATGTTCACTGTTGTCACTAAGTTCAATATCTTAATACAATTTATTAACTTATTGACTGTTATCATAAAGTACATGTATGTAAAATATAAAACTAACTTCAAGCAGTTCATGCGGAATGAGATGTGCACTTGACAAATGTCGTTATTGGTTAATTGCTTTCATGCCATAAAAAAGTGGTGTTACCTGTATTGTGTTTCTTGGTGAACATGAGACAGGTTGATTCATTAGTAAAATTGAGACAAATTGAGCCAGTTTATGAAGTATGAATTGACAAAGTACACAGGTTCTAATAGTGTACATACATACTGTATATACCTATAAATATAGTTTTAATGATTTCATATTACTTATTCAATGATTTACTTATTTTGTATGCAGCTATTTCATTTTTCATTCATTCCACTGTTTATTCATTCTTTCATTCATTACTCTTATAATTTATTACTTTATTTATTCATTCTTTCCACTTCTTATTTATATATTTATTCCACTTTTACTGATTCAGCATCAACATAGTCCTATTGGTAAAATAAGATATTTAGGACCAAGACACTTAAGATACAGGTAATAATAGTTGTGAGGGAAGTCCTTCACCTCACTTCAACAATACTGTAACTAATCTAAGGTGCAAGATATTCTTCACGAGTAAAGATTAAGTTTGGTTTGTGTTATGGTTGTGGCCAGTCATACATGTATCATTACTTGTGCTTAGAGATCTTTATTAATTGATCCTGTTTTAGGTGTTTTTGCTCGTCTTTTGAATTATTTAATATTGTTATCTTAGTGGATTGTTGATCTTTGTGAAATTTTTGATCATCTGGTTTACATAGTAACATATACAACACTGAACAAAATGTTGTAACGAACCTATAATGTATGGAGCACAATTTTGGATAATATGTTGTACAGTACTTATGAATATCTAATGTACAGAATAATATTTTGGATATTACTGTATGTCAAAGTGATACAATGTATGCACTGAACAAATTTGCATTGGTATGTTTTAATAATGGCTTTTTAAATCTGAAACAGTAAGTGTTAAAGAACTACTGTACATTCATATTAAGTCCACTAGATATAATGAAACAAGTCAATGGTTTTGTTTCATCCAACTACATTGTATTAACAAAGTCTTACGTACAATACTGTTTTAAAATCTAACATCTAGCACTTTGAGGTCATAATGTACTTATTTACATTATTATATTATAATACTGTATTTTATTAATTTATGTATATTGTAGCTTCATATTGAAGCTCAATTGATGTTGTTCAGAAGACTTGCAAAAGGTAAGTGATGCTTCAGCCAATCTAAGCAGACTCTGTACTCTCAAAACTGAGTCTTTTTCTAGGGACTAGCAGGTTTGGTGTGTATTTGGAACTGACAAGAGCATTATCATTATGATTTCTAGTTTGTGATGGATGGATAAAGCCGTGCAAAAGACAATAATCTTCAAAGGTGTTTACAGTACAGTACCGTATACAGGTATTGACAGTCAGCAGGACCAGCCCAACATAACACCCAGATGCTTCACCAATTACTTTAGTTTTTTCCTCTAGCAATAATAATGTAAAACAATGTAGCTGTCACATCTGTGGATGATTTTACGGCAGATAGGAGGGTGAAGTTTAAAGTGTGCCTGCTGTTACTGAGATACAAATTTAATGGTACCTTTCACACGGACATCCATTAAATTTCCATTGATTTCTAAACGTGCCGTGAGACAAAAAATAAAAAAGCTTGTGAAAGAGGCTTTACACAAGATGTGGGCACAGTTGCTATGTCAGAATTTTAGATAATAAACATTAATCTGGATAGTTATAGTCACTCAAGTAACAAAATCACTAATGTTGAACTCCACAGCTCAATAAAAAGTGAGTACTGTACTATATTGAACTGAATTTTGAATTGGCAGATATGGAGGTTAATGTTGGGAGTCAGTGACATTAGCAAAGTCAGTTGTTCAGTAATGTTTTTGTGCGCACGGTGAATTGTTGTGAAGCAACATGGGTGCTAAGGATTCACTTGGTATAGTGAATGTGCTAGTTGAAGACATGAACAAATGTGGATAATTCTATTTTTGTTCTAGCCCTTTCATGTCACCTACTGTTTGTTGTTCCCCCCCTCCCATTCTTTGAGGTTCCTGTACTCTTTCATCCACCATCACAGAGTGGGGGAAGATTAAAGATAATTAATAGAAATACATGTATACATTGCCATATATTTGTTATGAGAGGGTAGGTATTATTTATTTAGAATCACTGGACACTGGGGTTTGTGTTTCTCAGTGCTCTAAGGTGCCAATACAAAGCAGTGTGCACTTACACTAGTTTAACAGGTACAACAGGCACCATTCTGCTCAATAAAGTAAGGAAGTGTCATCCTTACTATGTCCATGATCTTGATATATCTCAATAAGTCTCCTTTTTGACTCAAGAATATTTTACCATAATTATATGTGTATGTTCTAGACTGATGCTTACATCAATTTTTGTTTCTGATCAGTCACTTTACTGTATCACAAATGCATTAATCATGTGTCTTGACTCTAAGATGATTTTGTATTTTTTAATTTAATACAGTACTATTAAAACTAACTGAGGCTGAGCTTTATATCATTTAAAACAAGTGCAAATAATACAAATGGTACTCCTGTGAAGAATGCAGGAAATATGGCATACAGAGATTGTAAAAACCTACTGGTTCATCTTCAGTGATCCACTTACAATTATTCTCATGAAATTCAGTCCCCCAAAATATGTTATCAATATTTGGGTAACAAGTGCCACACCGGAAGCATATTAATGGGGAGTGTTTGATCTGTTTACACCCAAAAATCGAAATATTACAAATTCAAGTGCATTGGCAACACCTATGGCTGTATTATGACAAGAGAATTACAGCAAAATTTGTCATATTTATATAGTTAAACTGCTCCCGCCAACCACCCTCACTCGCTGTTTGCGCGCTGACGAATTTTTACCACGATTTTTTTCAAGATGGGAAGAGTTATGAATCGTAAGAGGCATTTGAGAAAGGCAAGAAATAATATAAAGAAGGAAAATGAGAAGATGCAGAAAACAAAAGAAGATAATGGTTTTGGCATCTCACAGCAAACCAGTGTACACCCACCTAACCCACCACCTTTGCTTAAGAATACCTCCCCTACCCCCGAGTCAAGGACCTGCCCCGAGTGACCTCACCCTTGAACCTCTTCCCTCTACCTCTAGTGCACCTCTCTCTCACACCAATTTCCCAAACATTTATGATAAACGTGCATTTAAAATAATATTGGTTCCCCAGGCTGAAATGCATTAATTTCACCACTTAGCCACCTTGGAAGACTGTGTCAACCTGGGCTTGTAGAGCTGACTGAAATATTTTTACTATAAATATTATTATTACTCTATTATCATATTTATTATAATATTATACCATTGCCTATATTCAATTCAGTAACACCACATTGATGGCAGTACAGTACTGTACAGATTTGTACAATACTTTTTGTTTCCCAGGTTAGACTAATATTTGCACACTTTCCAGAAAGTTGGATTTAACAACCAGGTTTCAGCCCAAAGTAATTTACCATAGAGACCTTGAGGTGCACTAACATACTTCACTAACTGTAACTAAAAATAAATACTACAATAATAACAACACTATTAGAAGGGTGCAAGATAGAATAAAAAGGTGCTATTTTATTTTGTAGATTTGGTACAGTGGTAACAAACAATACTGAGCATAATAATGATATATAATAAATAACCAATATCTCCAAAAACATAACAATCGTAAGTAACTGCCAACTCACATCCAACCCTTGTATTGAAATGCAAGATCTTACCAACTGGTGTAGCCAGGAATGTGTACATGTGATCATTATCATAAAACCTCTAGGAATATAATATTGAAACTAAGCCTCTTTAAGGTATAGATTAGGCTGTAGAGCTTTAACAACAGTATCATTAGGGTGTGCAAAATGTGAGGAAGCAACAATTACTTCACACGGAGGATTCACCGCCGTTACAATTTGCCTAATCTCACGCACCTCTCCGGGAGTCACGCCTCCAATGATGTAGACCAGCATTATGGGTGCGTCTCGTGGCATTGGCTTGCTTACATTAACAAATAAGCTGAAAACAATACAGTATATGATTAATTAACTTACGGACACCAAAAAAATTTATCCTAATATAAATTTTTACTTAATGTAACTTCTGTAAGTTCAGATTTTTTTTTTCACTCTGCTGTTGGGATGACATTATGCTCGGGATATAAAGTTTATAGCAGGGGAAGAATGTGCCCTGCAACACAGATTAATTGCTTGTGTGTGACTTGTTGGTTAAAGGGTAAAGAAAGTAAGTGGTGTATGTTCAAAGATACAGAGTGTGGAAGTTGAAAGAACAGAATGTAAGAGAAACATTTTATGCTGAGTTTAAGAAGAGTGGAAATGGCTAGCTACAGTGTGAGGGATAGTGTAGCGAGATACCGGGCCAAAATAAAAAACATTCTTTTGAGCATGGCTAACAAGATTATATAAAGCCTGTAATAGAGGTGGTAAAAAGGATGAGTACTGTACCTGGCCAAGCATAGGGACAGAAGAGAGGTTTACAAGGCTAAGAAGCGTGATATGCTGATGAGTACGGATACAAGAGGTAACGATTCAGAATAGCGGTAAATAGTGGGTAGAGACAAAGACGTTATTGGTGAGCAGTGTGGAAGATAACCATGTTAACGTGGTTGTTGATAACGAGAAAAATCAAGTACATGTAATCACTAAAATCATAACTTTTTGACCTTGAATCACCTAGTAATGGAGTATAGGATAACTTCATAAGAACACTTTGAGCAATGACAAAGAAAATCTATACAAAAAATACTCACACATGATTGTTAAATCCTGAAACTCTCTACAGTACTTGGAGAATCAAAATGGAATGGAAGAGAATGAAACTAACAACTACTACTTTACCTAAATCCAGTTTCATAATGCTTGTGAAATCTTACCTAAATCCAGTCTTTATAAGGTCTTTGAAACCAGCAGACTTGTACTCCAGGTCAGTAATCTCAGCTTGGGGAGCAGTGAGGCAGTCATACACTAACTTCTGCAGGAGACTCTGGTATGAGGCTGGCTGGGCGCTGTCTCCAGGGATGTGCAAGTGCCTGTCACACACATTTTGATAATATATATATATATATGTATCAGTTTGCTCAAAAAAAACAAAAAAACAAAACAAATCCTGTTAGACCAACTGAGGTAACTTTTAAACCAGCTCATACTAATATACTTAATGACTGTAACTTGATCATTATTTAGGTGTTAACCATATATTATCTTGAACATCACCACACATCTGTATATTCTGTATTAAAATATAACTACTCCTCCTAACCAAAAATAACTTGCAGGAAAATTCATTACAATTATTAAAGAGCCCCTCATCTATTTTTTCTAATTGGTCTAATAAACAATAAATTTACACTTTTTTAAGGCATCATATAGACACAAACTTATACTCTTCAATAAATGATAATCACTTACCAATTCTTATTTTCATGATCCAGTATTTAGTAAACAATTATTACTGGATCTACAAAAAATAACCTTACACTAACTTCTACTTTAACAACTGGTTATTGATTCATTTGGCAATAAACAAGTGAGAATTGACAAACAATATAACTTTCAACTTACTTATAATTCTTTAAATGGTCCCTCGTGCTGGCAATTGCATGAAGTTGGTCGGCCACACCCTGAGCAGTCCTTAAAGCTGATACTTCATCTACTTCTTCACCAACTGTAAGGGAAATAAAGCATCATCTTTAAATTGTACTGATGAACATATAGCTTGGTAACTCACAATAACTAGCAGAGTGCAGGAAGAAAAGATATACAGTATAATATACATATTTCCCTCCCTAAGAGAAAGGTGACATTGAAACATCAGAACACACAGGACAACTTGAAAGAATGAAGGGAAAGTCTGTGTTTCTCTCAATTACTGTATAACTATCCTGTACTGTAGTAGGAAAATGCTTGTAAGAATAAAGAAAACTAACATACACACACACACACACATATAACATTAATGTAAATGTAATACAAAGATATGATTTACCATGTGGTTAAAGACATAAATGGCAATAACTACATACTTAGCTGAAGTAAATTATCAGAGAGCATCTTCTTATCCTCAACAATAGCATGAGAAAGACGGTTGGTAAGAGCGTATTCATCCTTCTGTGAGAATACCTCGGGACCCCCTAGTGAGGCCACGTACACCATCAGAGTCAGTATGTCATCCAGTGACACACCGTGTGTTCCTCGAGTTTTGAGTAACTGGAAGATCTGGAAAATACAGGACATGTACCATACATTCATGTATAGAGGAAATTTGTAATACTGTAACGAGATGAAGACAATACAGTACAAAACTCCCAAGCAGGAAAATAATGTAAGATTCACACTGTACTGTACATCCTCCGACATGAATTACATTTTCTTTTTAAATTTTATCACAAGCTGAACATAAAGACCAAGGAATGATAAAGAATTTTGAGCTTCAGGCAAAAGAAATATTTGTGATGATACTGAGATTAATTCCCAGTTAGTAATGACCATGGGACATCATCACCAACCTCAAAGGATTAAAGAAATAAGGGTGTCAAAATATGACTGTTATTCCTAAAAGCAAATGTTTACATTCAGACAAAGGCAAACAAGGTGTCAAGATGTGACCCATTTATAATGAATTTTCATTTATCGTGTATACATATACAGTATCAGCGACCACCTGTGTGTTGGGTTATGGTTATGATGCTGAATAGATATCCAACACCAACCTGTGTAAAGGGAAGCGTTTCCTCTGGGTCTCCAATAGACTGCATGAGACGTTTCTCTAAACTCAGCAACTGGTCAAGGTGAACAAAGCGGGGATGACTCAGTGCCTCCACCGCACAAAGACCTTGCTGTAAGGATTCAAGAAATCTTAATAGTTCATGTAAACACAATAATAATCTTAAAACAACTCAAAGCTGGTGTATTAAAAGTGTGAGGGAGATATTGTTCACTGATTGCAATGACAAATATAAGCAACAGGAAAAAGGAAATCTATTAATGTAACAAACAAAATATTCATTATATTTACCTGCAATAAACCAGCATTTTCTGTGAAGGCATCAATATTTGAGGCAAACTGATGAATATTTATCTTCACATTTTCAGGTGTGACTCGAGTTTCCTTTACACTGGTTCCATCCCCAATGTCTTTACGACTAGCTACTTCCAGTACCTGAAACCATAACACAGTTAATTTCATTTCATCATTGAGGTCTTTAAAAATACATTTACTGCAGTCACCAGAATCAAAAGAAACAAACACTCTTCCTGAATTTCCACCATTCATTATTTTGTATTAAAAGAAGATCAGCACCCCTAGTTTATTTCACCAGATGATTAAGTACACTAATGCTAACCTAACCTAACAAAACCTGACCTAATCTATGCTTGGATAATCTACCCCCAAGGTATTTTTAATTAATCAGGTGATGTAAGCTGAGGGTGCTAATCTTCATGTTATCTATTCTTTCTAGTTATCTCACTACCTGTAGATGTATTCTGCTATGGTATCCCCCATAAAACATCATCATCATCTCAGCATACACATCACCCCAACATCACATCAAATTATTTAAAATTTCCTCAACCACACTTTACAATCACACATACACACTGCGGATTCCTACATGTCCATCCCTCTCTCATATAAAGCCTCCTTCACCCCATCCTTCCATCCCCTCCTCCTTCTTAGTCTTCCCTTGTCTCCTGCTGTCATTCACTACTAAACAAGACTCTCTGTTTACCAATCTTTTACTTCCCAGTCTCTCAAGATGCCGATATAAGCATAGCAAACCCTGATCAGCTTTCAATCTGACACATCTTTCACACCCTTCTTTCCTTACATACTTGGTTATTTTTTCAATCCTAATCATATTTTGCAATTACTATTATGCCATAAAAACTACAAAAAGCTTTACTGTATATCATCTGTGCATAAATTAATAAAAGGACAATAGCAGTAAAGTGTAATAATAAAATAACAAGGTCTAACTCAATTCTCTTGTTCAGTATAATAAACTCAGGAGCTTATTAAATTATGGAAACTCAAGTGAAGCTCCTCAAAAAACCCATACAGTACATGGTGGTTGGTTTTTAGAGTATGTGGCAGTGGTTGCTGGACATTCAACATTGTTTAAGCTCTGCATTAGCTTTGATCATACTGTATATGCAAAATAGAAGTGAAAGCCAATGCTAAAAGAAAAAACAAAAGGTCAAATTTATAAGTTTCTGTAAAATATTTTGCAAAATCAATACAAATCCCAATACAGTATTCTATAATATGTAGCTAATACAGTACAGTACAATAAAACCTAAAAAATACAAAAAGGAAGAATTTCCCCCCCAAAACTATTCTTCCTGTGTACGTACATTCTTGTTTATGAGGGAAAGAGCCTCCTTTCCTGTTGACAAAACCAAGGCATTCAGAACAGCTGAAGCTCTGTCTTCTTTCCCTTGTGGGGCCAAGCAACCCGGCACCAGTGTCCACTCACTCGACCTATGGAACTCTGACTCTATCAGATCATTTGGCACACCAATATAATGATGAACACTACAAGATAGTACATTACAGTATATCCATAATTCAGACATATAAATAATCATGTCACGTCTCATTTTAATTATCCCTGATACTATTAATGAAATTCTGACAGCGGCATTTTACATACCGGTACAGTACAATAAATGGTATTAATAAATCATGCCCCCCCCCCCCAAAAAAAACTCAACCATATGGAAATAGGGCCAAATTATTCCACAAAACCTGTATTATAGAAAAAAATTGCCAAAATTATAATTTCTTCATATAAAATATCTTAGAGCATTTAAAACTGTTAGCCAGCATGTCTTATACGGTACCAGTACTTGCTCTGTATTGGTGTGAGCATGATATTGACTTGGTTTGAGTTAGGTACAATCCACTTTCTTGGTTTTTATACCTATTGCATTCTAGACTGTACAGTGACACCCTTGTTGAAAGAGGCCTATAAATGCAGGTAACAGCAGTAGAGCTATAAGAGCCCAAAAAGCCATTAACCTTGATATAAATCTGGAAATGACAGTGCAACTCATAATTCTGGCTGAATACAGTATAGTGAAAGGGTTTACAAGAATGAACAAAGAAAAATTACACTTTCAATGGTGAATAATTAAGATAACACAGGCTAATTTGCGTAAGTACTAATGCACTTAACCCCTACTATAGTGAGTTTTCCAGGGGAGCCATCCTACATAGTCAATTAGGAAAAAATATAAAAACATACTGTACATTTTGTGACCACTAAGAGGGTTTGAGGAAAACTACATTCTCAATTTTTAAATCACAGTTTAAACACTACTGTAGGTGAAATCTTAGCAAAATTGAGGTTCTGAGAGGCGGTTCAGAACCTTACACCAACCATAACTACACTGTTCTTATGGGATGCTCTTGTACTTATATATTACTTAACCCCTTTGTACAATTTCGCCTCTGAGCTGAATAAAATCGTCCGGCGTTAGCAAAATAGAATATAAAAATAAGACATTCCTGTGATGTAGGGGTTAAGACATAAAGAACTATCACAAATATTCACTGCACGTACGGGTGAACCTCGCACAAAGGAGACATGTTTACTGCGGAGTCCAGCTGATGACCATACAGACGCGGCAAGAGAGACAAGATCCTGCCCATCAGAGTCTCCCCTCCATGACTGGATGCGCTCACCAGGTCCAAAGTTCGGTCGACTAACACCACCGATACTTTGTTAGCAGCCATCTGTTTGAGCAGGAAAAAATGAGTAGGAATATTAAACAACCCCATCAATTAGACAGCTGAATGTCATAAAACACCATTAACCTGCTACATGTGACGTACAATATATAGTACAGGGTGGGTGAGAAATGACTGACACATGACTTGAAAGAGATTCAGTATAAACAATGTATGTGTACCTAAACTCTATACATTTTTGACACATGTATGTTGTATATTATGTATGATGTATGATGTACAGTATGTTGTGTATGATGATAATGACAGGATTTTACACAAGTTGAAAATATAGTACAATATATCAGTTAATTTTGACCCACCTTGTATATGTCTCTCTTCCTAGGTTTCCTGCTATTTAACTGGATGTTACACTTATTATAGTGTGCTTACTTCCCTTCTATTATTGGCATCACAATACAAATGATATGTATTATCTGGTGCAGTTATCAGATCCACATAGTCTCCTTGGTAATACAAAGCCCTCACTAACATACATTTACCAAGCTGGATATCACCAACAAATTTTTAGATTTATTAGTACAGTACAAAACAAATCTTTTATATTAATTATGTACTTCAGTAGTACAGTAATACAAATTTAGATACAGTCTTGATAAAATACAGTATTCCTTGTCATAACTGATCAGCCGCAGAGCAACATATACTATACTGTACTACTTAAGACAACACCATGTAATTTATATATCCTATTTCCATACAGTGATATATTCCAGGATGTGAGTTTAAGTGTCATGATTTATGAATAATATCTTGTCAGCCATGTATAACTTGGGTCATAATTTGGGGATCATGTTGTTTTCTTATGTACAGTACTAGGAGTGATATAAATAAAGGTGTGCCCTGTTTAAGTGACTTTGACTCCAGCTGAGCTTGTCCAATGGTGGAGTAGTCAAGTCATTACAACACTCTGCTCCTATCTTAAGGGTCTCTAGTTTGTGCCTAGGATAATCCCAGTTCATCCAGCTAACATACATGATCATGATGTACAGATAAAATACAACAACAAATTATAGGAAGTATTGGTCCCTGAGATGGTAACAACAAGTCACATCTAAGGTGCTTGGCCATGGCACAATACAGAATGTGGTGAATATTTTGGAAAACCTCAACAGCAAAAGGCTGCTATGTAATGATAAACAAATTATATATTATATAAACACCTTTGTAGTTTTGTACAGGGATTTGCTTCTTAATGATGGGAGTTTTCCACAAAATGAAATTTGACACCTGTTATTTCACCTCTTGTACAGACACACCAAAAGCATTACTAACCTTCCTTCTCTGTCTAGCTGGGGTGAAAGCATCAAGTTCAGTTCCGATAATACGAGACGTGTGTCCAATGGTGTATATTTCATCTCTGGCATTCATTCCCTGTAGAAGGCTATGAAGGCACACGACAAATTGACGGACCATTATTCGCATCTCATTGGGAAGATGGTGAAACTCGACTTCACCTGAAAAAGTAAACAATGTCTAATTTAATCAGAATTCGAAAAGACAATTTCAAACAGGTGATAAGTATGGTTACTGATGGGTGATGTTAGGTTGTGCGAGGCAACAGGGATAAACCAGAGGTATATATTCGGGGGCTTCTTGTGGGAAACACCACAGAAGAACACATCTTATGGGAAAACGCTTGCATTATTTTAAGCTACAGTATCGACCTTCATCACTCTAAGCTACCCCTGTACAGTACTGACTTTCATCCCTTAATACTGTACTGTACCGAAACTCCACAGAGGCATATGAAGCAGCTTGGTTACTCACCAAGATTTTCCACTGGTTTAATTTTATCCCCTTTTCCACATGCCTGCTGCAGCTTGGATATTCTTCTAACATCTGAGTTGAGTAGTGGATACAATGTGGAAAATGGTGGCATAAAGAATAAATTTTCTGAATATGGTGCCACAACCAGAGGTAGGTAAAATATCTCCGCGGTGTAATTCTGAAAATTGGCAAAAATAACACGAGTCAAACACGCATCCATTCAAAAGGTAAGTAAACATACAAAGTGGACTATAACTACTATTGTATATAATATCTATAATTCATAAAACATATTTGACATGAGGTGGTTCTTTAACTTGGTCAGTAAATTACCATGTTGCCCATCCAGGCCAAGACATCTTGTTCCAGTTCATTCATCAAGACGGCTTCATCTACTTCTCGTCCACCGTAGCGGGCATACGCATGGACGTTGGGATGGGCACATGTGATGACGATGCAATACTGAAAACTGGAGGCCTTAATGATGTCTTGTAATATGGTGGCGGTCGTGTCCCTAATGGCGGTGCTCACCATGAAGGCCGCCTTCATGTCATCCTTGTTTCCTCTCTGAGGGTAAAATAACTGGCTTATTACCACAGCTGAAACACAAATAACAAGGAAAGAGTGGTGGATTGATCCCAAGACCCAAGTTTTATGACCAAAGTATATACCGGTACAGCCACTCCTCGACTTACGACCACCCGGACATACGACCGCCCCAGGCGTACCAAAAAATTTTCAAATTACGCATTTTCGAGTCCCGACGTTAGTGATTGCGCTGTGTACTGACAAAATTTTCGTTTGTAATTCCCTTTAAAATGGCTGGCATGCTTAAAAGTGAGAGTTTTGTGGTGCTGAAAAGAAAAAGAGACACCCATTTTAAATTTTCTATGTACAAGTATTATCTTCGCATTTTCGACTTACGACCTGGATTTGGGTCCCTCACCCCGTCGTAAGTCGATGAGTGGCTGTATTGGCTTACTGGCTTTTGAAGTCTGGTTATCCGGCAATTTATATTATTCTACAAGGACAAAGTCCCAGCTTCAAAATGGAGATATCTGTACAGTAATCCCTTGAGAAAGGTAAACTCTGCCAAGGAGGAGTTTTGGTAGAGCAATTTTCTAGGTACTGTACCTTGTCAATGATCTATAGTCCATAAAATGTTATTTGATACGTCAACCTAATTAGTTACTCTACATACTGAGTTATTACAACTAAACTTAATCAATAAACCTTTACCTCAAAAGATGAAAATTCCTTCACATTTTTTGCTCCTGCATTAACCAATCTCGTGAGTCCTCCACTCCAGTGAAGACATTCTGCTGTGTTATTGTCGACAAACACGACAGAATTTTTTATTTTTTTGCAAGCTTCAGTCCACCAGGCTTCTGAGACATGAACTGCACTAGCAGCCTGCATTGTAGTTGGTCATGAGCTGAAAAGAAGGGCTTAGATAATTATTTACTGTAACTCTAAAATACTGTACAGTTCATTAAACCATTACAGTATGAGTTTATACAATTTTAAACCTCAAGACTTCCAAATTTGGCTTTGTTCAGGCAATTAGGGGCTAGTGGACAAAATTTTCATAAAAAAAATTCCAACATCTTGTGTGCAATACACAAAATTACAGTGGATCACTAGGTGACTTCTCACATCACCCGTGCATAATTGTGCTCAGTCCTTTAGTGTATACTGAATTGTTCTGTCAACATGTTAAACTTCTTAGTTCATATATACTGTACTGTACAGAAAAACTAGGGTGAAAACTTGGACATGGAAAATGTTAGTTAATAATCCTGTTGAGATGTGTCCCTTAACTATCTACTGTATTAAATTTCACCAAAGAACATAAACGTTTTCTTACTTCATGAAAACAGCAACAAATGCAAGAGCAATATGTTTTCCATGATATAAATTTCACGATATCCTCCAAGTTCAGGTAAAAAAAAAATGACATGAGGCCGCCAACCGACATCCAATGACATACTGGAGGTACTGTATCAGCTACTGCCATAATACTGTATATGATTAATACTTAAACCAACTGCTTAACCAAAACTAAAAGACCTAACCTTACCTTCTGCAAACTAATAATTATCTTCAGACCACTTGAACAACCTCCCCACCAGAGTGTCAATCTGAAGATTCTCCGCTCCCAACCCACTCCACCTAACCTAACCTAACCTCAGGTAAGGTCATCTAAGTATGTGCATCAGCTATACAGGACAGGTCAGGTCAAGGTCGTACAGCATATGCCCATTTGTCATGATGATTGTCCACACCAGTCTGTTTCACCTGAAGAACAAGAGGCGAGGGAAAGGATAGTGTTTAGGTGATCCTTATCTCCTTATAATACTTAAAAAACACTTGGGTAATACTGGAGCTGATTGCTAACACCAGGAGTTGCTCGATTTCATAAATTTTTGGCACAGAGGTTCTTTGAATGACAATAAGTAATAAAAACGATACAATTTTTAATTTATAAGTAAATTGTTTAGTTTTTTCTATCTCCAATAAAAAGTCACCAGTAATGGGCAGGATATGAAGGATGAAGGAAATGAAGTGGTAGCTTTGTATGTGAAGAAATCAGATTACCGTAAATATGCCTCCCAAAAATATACCCTTGTTGGCTTGTGTGTCAATGTATCAAGAGTCAGAGGAAATGCTCTTTGAAATGTACTCAGGAAAAATATTGTTAATTTCATGATGTAAAAAAAAACATTTATGTTCTATGGTGAAGAGATGTCCTACATGTCCACACCTCGTCTGAGCTACAACCAAATGCTCTTCCTCCACCCAATTTGTTTTAGATGAAGTAAGACATATTTAAGCTTAGGTTAGGATGAAATTATGGTTTTCCGATGTTTTTTGAACGACTTCCAAATAGGTGCATGACCAAAACGATCATTTTACCCCATTAAGTACCTGGTAATTACGGTTATTTCCCCAGCAAGTTTTATGAATCTTCAAGACGGACATAAAATTATAATCACATATATTGACATTTGGCGAGACTGGGACCTTCCCGAAGTATCAGACATTGCTGTATTATATAACTAATCGTTTATAAAATGAACCAAATTAATCTACCTAACCCAACCAAGGTAATGGTTGGGAGGAGCTCAACTTATGTTAGGTTCGTGTCATTTAATGAACGACAATTACATAATACAGCACTTTTATTTTTATCCTCTTCGCCACTGATCGGCTCGTTAGCCGCTTGGGCGATCGGTCACGTCTCTGTCACGCACTGTTGGCAGGTACTGGCCATGCACCGGCTCCTGAATGTACCTGAACCCGCTCCAGTGTTGATTTTCTTTAAATTTCTTAATAACTGTTGATTACAGTCTAATTACCTTATGAAAACGACTCCAGTATGTTTGTGTACAGACAGCTGGGCCTTGTTGACATGCTGCACTACGGGATCATATTATATTCTTTATAAAATACAATACTGTAAATTTCTTTTGAGTATAAAGTTTCCCCCTGATTTTTGCTACACATACTACAGTCTGTTTTTACAATTTGATGAGTCCTTAATTATAAAAATATATAAATGTTTAATTATAATTAAAGAAACAAGCATTCGAACTTCAAACACTGTGAATTATAAAGTAATAATAGTAATACTGTATTAATAATAATATTTACTCAGTAAAATCAAGATACAAGATTACAAATGTATAACCAATGCATTTAGATTTGATAAATACTGAACATGTGTTAACTGTTAATATTTGGAACGGAATTTTTTATAAAATTAAATTTTAAGTTATATCACCTTTTATTTGTTAATATTAACAGATGCTGTTAAAAACTAACCATCCAAGTGGCTAATAGCCACACACACACACACACACACACACATAAATATATATATATATATATATATATATATATATATATATATATATATATATATATATATATTATATATATATATATATATATATATATATATATATATATATATATATATATATATATATATACACAATGAATGCAAAAAATAGAAACGTACATGGCTTATGACAGGAGACATGATTGTCCTCTAGACAGCTGTACTTGTTCGATGATTAGAGAATCGTAAATAGTTAAAATAGTTATGGTAAAATTATATCTGTTTTCTTAAGCACCAATTACGTACGTTTTTTATGAAAAGGGAACTTCTCAAGAGACGGCGTAGCAGTCAGGGGAGAACAAAAATTGAATTATGTAGTTCCTCTCCACATATCTTCCATGGGCAGAAGCCACTCTCGCCCTCTCCCTGAATCATCTCAAATCTCGCATACACGCCACACAACGAGAGGCATTCAACGAAAATTGGACACATCTGAAACAACGGGGTAGCGTCACACTATGCCACTATGACGCTGTAACCGGTGACGACAACCGCCACTACAAAGAATATCAATCCCTGACTCGATCTCAACAGCTTATATACATGAGACTGCGCCTTGGGTACAGGTACCTATGGGAGTACATTGGCAACCCTGAGCCTCACCGCACTGTTTGTAAACTTAGTGGCCAACCCGACTCTCACACCCTCTCTCACTACATCCTCACTTGCCCTATGACCTCCTCCTATAGGTCCCCAGCCGTTACCAACACCTCTTCCCTCCCAGACCAGATATCCCTCCTCCTAGTCACAGGCCTGGCATTTGACATTATTAGGGACCTGCCACTCTTTGCCATAAACAGATAAAATGTACCGGGAACTTTCCCCCCACACACTCATCATTCTCTCACTTTATGTAACTTGACAGAACCTATGACCCTTCAGGCTTTTACGCCCTTAATGTACGAGTCATAAAGGCACGTATGAACTTTTCATACTTCCCTGTTGGGCGCTGTAAACGCTTCTGCGCTTCACCTTGCACAGGATATAAGGGGGTGCCCAATAAACTAGCCCCCTCGGGGGCAAATCTGAATCTTCCATGGGCAGATCGTAGTATGACCTTGGTACAGAGACTATATACGAAAGATAGGAAAGCTATTGAATTAACCGTGCGCCGCAAAGCTTGAATCAGCGCCATCTATCGGCAAGGCCCCAAATAAAATTAGCTCCGAAAGGTAGGGGGGGTTGTCAATCTCTAACTCCACCTCTGCTTCTTGTGTTATTATTCATTATTATTTATATTATATATTTTGTACGTTCTCTGAGTTTATTAACCATTAAGCTTTTTTGTTTTCTCGACATGTGAATCGTATATAGTCTTATTGGCACCACCCAAGTTGACGTATTCGGTAAACAAACAGACGACGTTCTCACCGATACCACCGCCATCTGCCTCAGAGGCCCTTACTACACGCACACCCAAAAGCTCGAATTTTCCTATCTTTCGTATATAGTTTTTGCCTTGGTATCTTGGGAGTTTAGCTCAGGCAAGTTACAGTATACCAGCCAGTTGTGTTGCAGCTCTCGTGGGAGTAACTCACTTATTCTATCAACATTTGAGTGCTGGTCTGTTCCAACGGGTAGGGCAACATGGCTCCACAGATAAAAGAGGCGTCAGGGGAGAAACCCGCATATGCTGAACTGAACAATCTGATATCGGAAAAGGTAAACGAAAAATGTTATTTTTTAGCTTCAATAAGACGCAAGCATTAGTCTAAGATCTCGTCCTTGGAGTTAATTAGCGTATTTAATTGTTTGATAAAAAGCAAACGCTCAGTTGTTTGGCCATTTCCTGTTTGCCGTCACCCCACCCAATTAATTTACCCTTTTAACAAATATAACGAGACAAATGCATCGTCTGTTATCATTACACACTTTAATGCACCATTATCGTATACTCTATTGTTGTTGCATACAACAAACGCGTATAAATAAAAATTCCCCCCCCAGCGACGGCAGATCCATGCCATAAGTTCATCCCGAAGTTAACACAAGTATGAATTATCAACATAATACAGGATACAGTAACGTTTTATTGGTGTATCTCGGTGTCGACCAAAACCAAATATACAATCTCGGTGTTTACATATTGAGGATAACTTATTAAACATGACAGTATGTTACTGCACACCCTCTGCCTGGCACTACGACACCCCCCCCCCCTCTTCCTCACCCACCACCGTCCAGCAGAGAGGAGCCAATGACGTTCTTTTTTATGTTAAAAATATAAACACGCAACAAATAAAATGCATGTAAAGGTAGCAGTGGACTGCTTATTTTACATACTTATTGACTATTATTGCGAGGTTCCTTCAGGTAACCGGTAGCTTCTACTACCTCGTAATCAGTTGTTTCGCAAAACGCGCCAGTCACTGTACTAGGTGGGTCTGTGGATGACAGTAGATATATTTTTTCTGTATGATTAGGTAATTTTATGAACAATTTTTATTTTTTGTGACAGTCACCTTTTGACCCTTACATTACTTTCCTACTCCACCACTGATCGGCTCCTTGGGCGGTCGGTCACTTGAAGTTAAACACTGTTGACTAGTACTGGGCATGAACTAGCTTCTGAGTGTACTGTACATTTTGGATTTGAAAAGTAATGAAATTACACAAGTAATAACTAAAGTAGATTAACTTTGATAGTAGCGGGCCACCTCACCCTGATGGAATAATGAACCTATTTTTACCCTTCAACAGCTGGGCGGACGGATCCTGTTCGCAACTGATGACTGGTTCACTGTAGCTGAGAATTTATTAAAGGTAAACCATCTTCATGTGACCTTGTTCTCCGTGTGGACTGTAGTATCGCTATAGTGATTTAAAAAGGTTATTCGGAAGTGAACTTCGTGGCATAAAAACAGGTAACCTATTTAAAATCGACTTGACCTGATGTTGCTTGTTAACCACATGAACAAGCACTGGGAAGTTACTAAAATTAGTCTGTTTGTTTGTAGAGATCAAGCGGAAGTTATGAAGTAATATTCGGGGGAATAAGTGAGAATCTATCTACCAAGTCCCTTGAAAGGTGACCTAGTTGTGAAAAATAAGGAGTTACACAGATGGTCAGCTACACATAAGCCTTGGTAAACCTCTACATCAGGGGTTCTCAACCTTTTTCTTAACAGGTCCTTATTGATCCGTACCCACATTACCGAAACACAGAATATAGAATGGTACTTAATCGACACAAATTCAATATAGAATGGTAGTATTAAAACATATTTGGTACTTGGCGAGAAGCTACTTACCTCATTATACTGTTTACTTTTATCCTCTAAAATATAGCATTAAATTTATATAGCCTTAAGAATTAAATCTGGTGAAATTAGTATATTATTTATTGATTTATGCTAGTCATCAATGTGTACCACCCCCCAACCCCCTCTGGAGACCCTCGGGCAGGTTGAGAATCCCAGCTTGAGTGAGTGCAGCGCTACTCTTTAACCAACGCACACACAGTTCAAGGTTGTCGTCACCCGATAAGCTGATTCATGATGAGTTACCTCGGTGCTCTATTTCCTTAATCCTTAGTAAATTTAGTGGTAGTACAAAGACTCTGAACTATATATTGATTGTGGAAAATATTTACTACCTTAATGCTGCATACAACTGAGAAATTCCACTAAGTTATGAACCATGTAGGGATGAAGTTGGTGAAGCCTCTAGTGTCTTGCTAATCATAATTGGCGATACAGAATTATATATTAATAGTGAACCTTTAGGGATATATATATAAGCTGTAGATGTGGCCTTGGTGAAATGTTATATGATTGTCACTCCTCTTTATATAATCCGCTAAAGTCCTCTTCCTCTGATGTCGCATTAAAAACATTGTTACGAGTTTCTCTGTAGACTTTGTAGAGGTCAAACGCTACAGCCCTTATGTAAAAAGTCTTGTGATTACGTGGGTGTAAAATAAAGGGCTGCTTCTCGCTCGTTTTAAGTCCAGTTCCTACTTCCTTGTCCTACTCAGTACCCATGTTACGTGCGTCAGACAAGTTTTTCTAAGCGACCTTGACAACACAATCGGCCAGACAGCGGACCCCTTCCTTCCTTACTCGCCTTCTAATCTATTATATCAACTTAGTCCAGCTGGGGTTTGTTTACAGGGTCACTACTGCTGGTGCTACTTGGCAGTTAGGATTGTATGAACAGTTACTGACAACGTTGGCTAACTTAGTGCAATTTACAAATTTTCAACGACTTTGCCACAAGATAAAGTTACTAAGTTTGGTACAAATTCCCAAACCGGTTTTACAGTAGTTTGGGGACTGAAGCAAAACGCCGCGTCGCAGTTGCAGGCGTGGTAATAAAACTCTTTATTACTGACGGAGTAAATGAGAAAGTTGCATGTCGGTTATTTATTAGTTTTATCTTACTTTCGGACAACACGGGAATCTTAGGAATTTTATCTTGACTATCGGTATTTTCGACAGTTCTTGAAACACTTTTTTCTTCTTTGACGTTTCCCGCGCACACGACTAATAGGCCTACTGTCTGCCGGGGGGTCCAGGTGGGCAGGGCTCCGCGATTAGATTAGATTAAGGTCATTAGCGAGGGAAACGTCAAAGAAAAGTGTCTTGGAATTGTCTAAACTATTGATTGCAAAGATGAAATTCCTATGATTCCCGTGTTTTTCGAAAGTAAAAATTGAGTTGTTGCAGGAGAGTGAGCCAGAGTGGCGGGAGGGAGAATTTACGGAGTTCGGCAAGTGGATGGACGGCTGGGAGACGCGACGGAAGAGGAAGCCTGGCCATGACTGGTGCATCATCAAACTCGGTCAGTCATTCCTCTCCCATCTTAACCAATACTTCATTATTTCATCCTAATTAACATTATAACGTCCCTTACTTCAGGTTTATATTGTATAATTATTGTCCTCTGGTCTTGTTAGGCTCTCTAATTATTAGGTGAAGTAAGCCTGATATATTCTAAAATACTTGGATAAGGATGGCTAATTAATGTTAAAACCGTGTTGGATCCGAGTGTTGTAGTGAGTTTAGTGTTATATTTTTAATAAAGTTTTGTAGCGAGTATTCTGGTGTTGACAGGTGTGGCTGGGGTGGTCGAGGGTGTAGACGTAGACACTTGTCACTTTACTGGTAACTACGTGCCTCGGGTGTCCATCCAAGCAGCCGTCCTCACCCCTGAAGGTACCTACTAAGTGTTCTGTCTACTGCTGTTGATTATACCCTTGTAGGTGTAGTGCTTAATGTTTGACCGAGACATTGGAGCTATTTTTGTAACTTGACCTTGACTGACCTGACCCCCCCCCCCATCTGGTATTACAGAGGAGAAAGTCATCCCAGAGAGGAAGAGCGAGATGGGCACTGAAGCCTCAGACCAGCAGCTGAAAGAGGTGGAAGCCCTCAACTCACAGGTACTAATGAGAAATTTTCGTTCATATGTCATGGCGTATTATTTTCCTTTAACATTAAGATGGCCGCCGTGCCTTCGGTGAATGAACTGTGATTTAACAGGAGCACATTGTCGACAAATATTATTGGAACACCTTAATAGGCCTACAAGCCATTTAAGTACTTCGAAGTAGTGTTTTCCCTACTGGCTTAAGTGTTAAAACGTTTAGTGGAAATCCTGAATACAAAATAATAAGCATACGAGCTATTAAGACACGTGCACAGTTTGATTCTAATCTTAAACTGTGTAGAATAATCATTGGCATTTCGGTGTAGTTTGATTGTTGCTACCAAACCCTGAAATGACCGTGAACTTTAAGTTTTGATCTAAAAAAAATATTGTACCAGAAGCAACAAGTAAAAAATTTGTCACACAAAAAAGACTATTCCAAACAGGACTTAAATTTGTGCATTTTTATTCCTGTCAGCCTCTCCGCAAGGACGGTATTGTCACGTTGCCAATAAAAAAGGAAAAGAAAAAAGACAGCTGCCATCTTGGGGTACGAGCGTCCTGTATTCACGATCACGTCCTCGGGAGTTATTCTTGGGCAATATTGGGGATTTCTGTTAAAAAAGTAACTGGCTAATCAGGACACCAAGGGTAAGGGTGACTGATTCGGTTAGGTACAATAATATAACTACATATATAATTTTTTCAAACAATATTTACCAGGCTTTAAAGAAGCGTGTGATCTTACGTCACAGGAATGGACGACTATCATCCCAAGGAGTCAAGCCGGACCAGGCTACCCCTCCACTAGGCACACCTACCTTCCTTCGGAATCCAACGGTCGCTATACCCATCTTCGGCTGAACATCTACCCTGACGGAGGAATCGCCAGGCTCAGAGTCTTCGGGTATGCGGTTCCTGACTGGTCACTCGTATCCCCAACACAAGTGAGTCTCCGTCATATTTTTTAATTTTGTTTTTCTAGATTAACTTGATATCTCGAGCGTGTTATGAACGGGGTAACCTGTAAAAAGACTGAATGTTAATTGCTCTAGACTAGCATTCTGCCCTATATGGCACTTAAAAGTTTTTTAAACCTAAAAGTAGAAATTACACTATCAAAAATCACACAATCCTATTTGCTTGTAGTGAAGCACATACGACAGTGAAGCGGGTGTTTCAATGGACCCTGGGCCTGGCTTCGGTGACATTTAATATTTGAAGTGCATTAATTTTGTCTGCTGTGAAGAGCTGTTAAATGCCATGTATATTTTGGTCTGAGTTATTAATATGCGGTGTGTTGTGAAGATGTTGGACCTGGCGTCGGTGGAGAGTGGTGGTGTGTGTTTGGAATACAGCGACGCGCACTATGGTCACCCTCGCAACCTCATCGGTCCTGGCCGAGGCGTCAACATGGGCGACGGGTGGGAGACGGCACGCAGGCTGGACAGACCACCCATCCTTGTTGGTCAGTATGCTTTTGTTTGGATCCAGGCTTGGATTATTCCATGAAATCGGGGTGTGTTATGTTAGTTTATATCCTATTGGAATTGGGCGAGTTGTAGACTGTTAAATAACCAAGTTATATTATGAAATTAAATTGTATTGAATGAAGCCCGTGTATTCAAGATTTGATGCATTAAACTGGATTAAGATTGGTTTAGGTTAAGTTAACCAAGAAACCAGAATAACAGACAAGCCGACCGCCCGAACAGCTAGTCAGCAAAGTTGTGGAAATGATAAACTAAAAAATTAGTTTTGTTGTATTTGTTCTTAGTATAACCAATGATAGCCGTAGTAAGTTTACTGCTAACAATACTAACTAATAAGAACCAACAGTAAATCCTTTCTGTACCTTGATCAGCTGACGGTAAAGGAGTGCTGGAAGTGAGCGGGTATGAGTGGACTGTGCTGCGTCTGGGTCACCATGGCAACATCCTCAAGGTGGAGGTGGACACTCACCACTTCAAGGGCAACTACCCTGACTCGTGCAGAATAGACGGTTGCCTCCTAAAACAAGGCCAGCATCCTACAAACTTCGGCAATGATGACTCCCTCTGGCTGACCATACTGTCCCCACAGAAGGTCAGAACATACCCAGCGGGATTTTCAACGTTGAATAGATGTTGAAAGTCCGAATGACATTTATGTCGTCAGCATTGGAGTTGCTCTGTGCTCTATCTTTTTATGATATTAATTTGGCATTAGAGCGAGTCACGATATAATTTCAGTGTTACATTTGTTCACCGTAGATGTTTCCGGTAATGTTATGTTCTTAAATCTTCATTTGAACCTTTGTGAATCCAACCTTTGCTAGTAAGAAATTTGAATTGCCTGTTCCTCTATTCAGTGCAGGGACTGAGCGGATGTCGCTCGCTTCCTGTTTTAAGGGATGCTAGCTCGATCCATCGAAATTTACAAAATTGGAGTGAAACAGGCAGAGCGCAATCCCGACCGCGCACCTGTGTACCAGAGGCTTGGTACAGAGTGCCGTGCCCACTTTCTCAAACGGGCAGTCATGCTTCGAGGACCCACTTTTTCGCAATAGATATCTGAATTATGTTAAGTGTATCCTAGTGATAAGAGCTGAATATTAGATAATCCCATGTTTTTATTTCCAGATGCGCGCGCACGACCATCACTTCTTTGAGGCTGAATTGGAGAAAGTGGGTCCAGTGTCTCACGTCAGGGTGGTCATCGCCCCTGATGGAGGCATAAGTAGAGTCAGGATATACGGCAATATCACACCCACCGAATCATAATATCGACAGAAATTGTAACTAGAAGAGGAATTGGTAAAGTACCTACAACGCTGCCGTTTTACCACCACCACCATCAATAACGGGAAGAACAACAGCTTCAACGGTAACGGCAGAAACAGACCTTTAGCCCAAGGATCTCAAAATTTCAATCGGCTTCCATTTATAAATAAACTCCTATAAAAACCCCGTATGTCGATATATTTAATATAACGTTGAGACTGTAATAAAATGAAAAGTGATTTTCAAAAAATTTGGCCAAGTTTGTTCTGAGTGTTAGTTTGTTTAATTATATATCAATCTGGATTAATGTTGAATAAAGTCTTGCAAAATAAAATTACGCAATTTTATTTCAAATTTGAAAATACCCCCATATAATCTGTACAAGCCACTCATACCTAACACAGCAAGAATAGGTTATATTTGGATAAACAGCAGAGTTCACTTGCCATTTTGGATGACACTTCGACACCTGTAGTTTCTCGGAATACAGCTGACGTTACTGATCACGAATGGCAGGGCTCTTGGATCTACAACTTGTGTGCACTCAAGGTAGACCACTCTTGATCTTGAGTCTTGACCTGAGCAATGGTTTGTCGAGACTTTTTCTTGAAGGTCAGATAGGACGACGTGACCACCTGCTTATGCCAGCCGATTCACAACTGGCGGAGGATCTGCTTGATTTGTTAATTTTTAGCATTTTTTCTAGAGTTCGCAATAAAATCGCAAAAAATTTCCAACTATACATATCTTTATTCCGTTACGAAAACCCGTATGACAACGGCAGTAATGTTCCTCTGTGGTTTCTAGAGAATATTGTCTCAATTTTTCGATTTGCCGTGAACTTCCCCCATTTTCACATTTAAATATTATAATCGCATGTACCAATACCTCTCGTAATTTATATTTCGAAAAGCTAATATTTTCGATCTTGACCCAGTGCAAATCGTTTCAAAACTTGTAAGAGGGTATCATTTATGAATTGTACTGCATTCTCTAAACAAAAAAAATAAGATGCATCATTTTAAAGTATAAATCATTGTGCTTTTCAATGCTGTATAATTCCCGCTCATTAAATTTTTGATTTAAAAATCATTAGCCTCGTAGGTTTATGAAAATGTGATTAGGTTCTTAAAAGTTCAAAATCAATAGTGAAAGTTAGTGTACTGCACTTGTGGCCACTTTGCGGATAACTATTTTAATAACTTTTCCTGGTAGGATTTTGTATGCAGTTCAATTTTAAGAAACAGTAAGATAAATAAAAATTTACGAGTCACAGAATATTGGAACTGAGTAACCAACTGGCAGCGGCGGAGGAATATGACTCTATTAGAGGCGGGGATCTGTTCAACCCGGTAGTGGGAGTCCCGCCATGAGGAATGGAAACCACGAGTTGATGTAAGTTAGTGTTTTTTTTTTTTTTTGTGGGAGGGGAGGGGTAAATTATCAACAAATACAGTATGCACATGTAAAGCAGGACGAGAACCAATTGGGGAATAATGTAGTAGAGGATTGTAATTCCAGTGAATGCATGATTATTTCGGCCAGTTTTGACTGCTGAAATAAACTACTTGGGTTTCATTGTCAGAAATTTGCTGGCTAAAATTGTTAGTTGTGTTTCTACCTAAGGTATGGACGCTCTGTGAAGTCAAATCATCACTCACTCTAACATTTCACACAACTTGAGAAATGATGGGGGTATTATTTTACTAAACTACAACACGAGAATCTTAGGAATTTGATCTTTGCAATCAATAGTTTAGACAATTCTAAGAATGTTATTTTTTGACTTCTAGCAAACGACTAAAATATGCCGGGGGGTGTGAGGTTAAGTTATGTTGACCATAGTAGTCCGGTTTCTGCACATTTTCATAATTTAGTAATAAAGCTTGCGTGTTGGTTGAGGAACTTAAGGTAATTAGTGGATATATTTTTTTTAGGTCTAATTGATGGTCTACTCTGGGTATTTAAAATATGAACGTCATATTTTTTGCCTTATATAACTACAGACCCGTCTAGATTGTCTAGGACGATGGCATGTAAAGGTTGAATAATGCACCAAATTGGGTGGCTAAGCTAAAATAGATATATCAAAAAGTATGTTCTATACATACTGTACCAGTTAGATTACCGAGTGAATACCTGAGCCTTCCTCCTGGGTAATAGTTGACTTGTGCTGTAACCACTGTACTTATAAATTTATACAATAGTATTGTAACCATCATAATATTATTAATCATGTTGAAATTGAGAAATTAAAATTTAATTCTATAATACAGTACAGTACTGTGCATCCACTTTGAAATTAAATCGACAAATTATTTTGTTTTAAAACGTCTGAATACATAAGAACCTGATGAAAGCACTAATGGACTAACCTAACCCAATGTAATCTATTAACCTAATCTAACACACCAATTAGTGTTATTACGTTTAATCCTCGTGTGAAGTAACTGGGGTTCCTAATCTAAAGATCCCCCTTTTGATTCGACTGTCGTGAAAATAAGAACATATTTAATACTGTACTTCAAGCAAAAATTTAAAATCACACTTTTCCATGAGCCCCCTGGAATTCTTCCTTTGATTATCCCAATGTCTATGGATGTCTCTGACTGGCAACTAAGTACAGGTACAGTACATATTCTTTATATTGGAACATTGTTACTGTACACTGGTTAATGACTTTTGCCAGCTTCTTTTCAAAATTGAGATAGTGTATTGTAAGGTACAGTACTGTACAATACTGTACATTTCTTAGTTTTTTGGACCTGATTTGTATACATTTGTATCCAGTACAGGTACTGTTTACAGTATATTTCTCAGTATCTGATTTGTCCATATTGATATGTTAAGCTCAAAGACTGAAATACAACCACAACGTGTTGTGGCTTGGAAAATAACCAGAAAGATAAATTTTGCTATAGGTTAGGTTAGAATAGGTTTGTTTAGTTTAGTTTGGGTTTGGTTAGATTAGTTCAGGTTTGGTTAGATTAGGTTAGTTTCAATTAGGTTAGGTTTGGCTGATACCTATGAATCCACGATACAAAATTTCACTTTCTGCTTTTATATTTTAAAAAGGTCCACAATGCATTGGTAGGAAAAAATAAATAAATCCATCATTAAACAATAAGTTTTTGTTGACTATGTGTAGTCTTTAATTATGTGAGTTGATTCTCAGTACAGTAATTGAATGATGTACCATCTTGCATAAATAATTATGGTTTAATGTTGTGATTGGTAATTAGTTTTACTTTAACTTTTAGGTGGCAATAAGAAATTAAGTATTCAAGATGCAGACTGTTGAAAGTCCACAAGCTCTATCTGGTGTGATGAAACCAGAGGATAAGGAGAAGTTACAAAAAAAAGCAGCTTTCAGCATCATCTTCCGCTGTGTTGAGGAGGCTGGGAAGATGGTCATGTGTGATGTATTGCGTGTTCTGTATAAGCACCCCAGCATGAGTACCAAAGGAGGCACAAGGGCTGTGAAGGATATCTGCTTAAATAAGCTGGGCTGGACAGAAGATAAATTAAAGAAGAAGTTAAGTATCTGTACAGAGGACCAAAGATATCTTAATTATGATATATCTAAACAGTCTGTAAGTATGTCATTTGCATACAAAGTGATGGTAGAAGTCTGTAGTAACCTCTATGGATGGCTTAGTGATGAATGTACAAGTTTTATAAAAGTTCTAAAAACATACAAGAATAAGATATGTCATAAATATGACCTACAAGAGGAAAATCTTGCAGTAGAATTGGAACATTTTTATAAATTAATCAAATCTATTTATCAGGATGTTAGTGAAGCCTTTGAGGTTGACATGGAGGTCAAATTAAAGGATGTAGAGACACTTCTGAAACAAATCCAAACCCAGAAATGTACATTATCTGATACAATGATTCTTTGCAATGATGAATTAGCACTTATGATTGTGTCAGGTCGAAGAGAGTTGGCAAGCCGATACCCAAAGCTGAGAGTTTGCAGTCCTTTAGACTGGATGAATGGCAAAGAGACTGAAAAATTCAAACTTAAGCTAACTATAGACTGTACAGTATTGACAATTGAAGACAGTATAAGAGAGATGAAGGTTGAAAATCTCTTAACAACAGATGCAATGATTCTTGGGAGGTTCAAGATTCCTTCAGTGTTACTTATCAGTGGAGAAATTGGGTCAGGCAAAACATCCCTTTGTCATTACCTCCTTCAGGATTGGCAAAAAAAGCATTGTCAAGTTAAGAGGATAAATAATTTTGATTTAGTACTTTTGGTTGATGCAAACAAAGTTAAGACCTCCTCACTAGAAGATTACTTGCTTGAAGAGTTCTTGATAAATACAGGTGTCTCATTTAAAAAAGGAAGGATTATACCAATACTCAAGGAGTTAGATGTTTTGTTCATCATTGACTCTTATGAGGCAAGTTCAAAAAATCTCTGTGCTATTGTATCAGAAATATTTTCAAATTTCATTGAGAAACGCATCATTCTTATGACACGCCCAGAATTCAAGCAGGTGTGTGCAAACCTAATATGGGAACATCATGTTGGCCATCTTCCAGTTGATATTTGTTGCATGGATGATTCAAGACAGATGACATTTACCTTACGTCTGTTAAAAGCACTAAAAGAAGAGACCAATGAAAAGAAAGAACAGTTGCATCGATATTTAGATGGAAATGGTAGAGAACTAGGCAGTCACATCAAACAACCAAATACACTAGGTCTTCTTCTCATGCTATGGAAGAAAAAAACAGATATACTAAAAGGAATGACAAATGCCTCACTTTTCTACAATAAACTTTGTCACGGCTACATTAATATGGTTAAGCAACATCTTGCAAAGCCAGTAGAAGATTTTGGTAATGTTAAATCAACTATTATTGAAGCTATAAGTAAATATGCTTGGAAATTGTTGATATCTGGACAGCATGTGCTGTCAGATGAGATAGTGGTGGATTTTGATAATTTGTGCAAAACAGTAGCTATTCCTTCTGACGACGTGTTGTCAGTACTCATGTTACGTACCTATGACGAGAATGTCACTCCACCCAGCATAAAGTATTCTTTCATCAGTGAAGGTCAGCTTCTGTACTATGCTGCCTCTTACATAACCAAGAATCTAGAAAAAGAAAATAAAAATATCCAGAGCATCTATGAGAAAGTAAAGCATTTGCACAATTTGGAAGGTTTTCTGCTAAAATTAGTAGGTATCCTTAGTATTTATAATAAATTAAATGATGTTTCAGTTAATGCAATGTTCACAGTTATTTCTCAAGCCAACTTCCCATCTGAAAATTACAACTTGTGGTGGAAATTTGTAAATGAGAGTAGACGTAACCACCAAGTATGTAAAATCATAGCTCAAGAAAGATTACCTCAAGTTCATTGGGTTCTTGATGCCAAAAATGTTGTTTCTGGGCTCAAACTTCTTGCCCATACTCCTGTAAAACTCAAGAGTGTAAAAATTGAGATTCATAGTGACACTGAACCCTTTCATATTCCTGAGTTCCTTAGAACAATGGAAAGTCTTCCTGGGTACTTAAAAAACCGCACTCAGCAAGATCCAATAGAGGTAGAACTTCACTTTTGGCGCCATGATGAAATTGGTGACTTTGGACCATCTGACAAATTTGTGCAAACACTGCATCCCTGGGGTCGATTGAATAACTTTACGGGTTCCTTAGGCGAGCAAGAGGGTGGTGATGAGGTTCTAAACATATTCCAAGGCATCAAAACTATCCGGACACGAGTGACAACCCCAGGGGTGCTCAAATCTCTCCAAAGGAAGCTCCATAACATTGCCAAAACAGTGAGGTTCATCCGCCTCACTCTTGCCTTGCCCACACAATGTAATCCCAATGCCCTGACTCCACTTTATTTCCAAGGCAACTTAGAACTCAACTTTCTTGGAGTGAATGATGACTGTCCCCAGTGGGTGGTGTCTGCAGTGCGGCGAATTTCTGGACAGTAAGTACTACATGTAATATACCGTATAACTCCCCTTTTTATTGCACACCGTAATTGTGGTAATATGCATACAGTAGTTGGAAGTTGTATGTAACAAAGGGGTGAGAGGGATGCATTAAACATAAGTAATACTGTACAGTATTCGGAATTAAGCCTAGATATCTACATGTGCAGAATATATTCCAGAACTGGACTGGCTGGCAGTCTTCTAATCATTGTTTTGTGAAAAATTTTCACTTGTTAAAATTTAGTGCTAGACCAACTATGTGTGTAGAAGAGATGGTGCAATGAAAGTGGAAAACAAATGCATATAAAAGATGCTTTCTCCTCAAAATAAAAGTTGCATATTAACATGAAAGGAAACTTTTGATGCATTTTATTGTTTAGGTTTGGTATTTTTAAATTATTTTCATAAACTGCCAGTTCTGTTGTTTTCATTATTAATTATTGCACATAGCAACTTCCCTGTAATTCTGTCTGATGCTGTTTCTTCACTACTTTAATTTTGTGAATACTGTACAGTTAAATTACTCTAAACTGTAAGGCAATAGTAATTTTGTTACGAAACACTAGTTTCAGGCACATGGTTACTGTTAAGATGGCCCCTTTATTTGTTAGTTGTACAGTACTGTAGATGAAACCAGAAAACTTAGATTAGACATATTTATCCATTAATCCTAAATGGTGTTTGACTGTCACTGCTAACTTTTATATATATATATATATATATATATATATATATATATATATATATATATATATATATATATATATATATATATATATATATATATATATATATATATATATATATATATCACAAGAGTAAAGTACTATTGGATATTGGTAGCCATTTTCCTTCTGTGAAATTTCATTATGCCCAAGTCACACTACAGATTCTCATTTTGACGGCCGTCTCTATGTCACATTGTAATTTATGATGCCGTACTGGACGGTTTGGTGGACACTAGTGCCTGTCGACGCAGGAAAGATAAACTAATTTCATTTTGCATATCCAAACAGGAAGTGCTGGTGCCTGTCTATGCTGTTGAAATAAGTTAAAGATTCGTGTTAAAAATTTAGTCAAATAAAAATGAAATTCAGCTTAACTAATATCATCACTCTTAAAATATATGGATCGTAAACATTCATATTGGAAATGAAAATCTTCAATACAATGATAATATGCAGATTTTGAAGGTAAAGCAACACTGTACAGAAGATATTTTTCTGGCATTTGTTTTACTCCTCTTTTCAAAGGTGATACACTTTTTCTGTGGAAATAAGTTTTAACTCAACTTAGCATTAATAAATAATAAATAATAGCTGCAGCTTCTCCCTGACTTACGACGGGGTTAGGGACCCAAATCCAAGTCGTAAGTCGAAAATGCTTAAATAATACATAGAAAATCTAAAATGGGTGTCTCTTTTTCTTCTCAGCACCACAAAACTCTCACTTTTAAGCTTGCCAGTCATTTTAAAGTGAATTACAAACGAAAATTTTGTCAGTACACAGCGCAATCACTGACGGAACTCATAAATACGTAATTTGACAAAATTTTGGACCGACTGAGGCGGTCGTATGTCCGGGTGGTCGTAAGTCGGGGAGAAGCTGTACTGTATATTAATAAATAAATTGAAGCTGGGTCAATCTACAGTACTGTATATGTCCCTTTCCATAAAGTATCTGCAGCATATCTACCAGCTCAAGCTGTGGACTAAAGAATAGTATTAGTCTTCAAAATAACCCTAGACAAAATTATCAAGAAATGGCCTCCTTCCCTCAGCATGGCCACAAGGTAAATAAGATAAAAAATCAACATGAAGTGGCCTCTCAGTATTTGTTGTGGCCATTCTCTTCTAGCTGGGGCCTCCGTGTGTCGTTGCGAGGAATGCATATTCAGGTTATCATCATCCATGTTTGTTTAAATTTTAATCCTCGTATGAATGGACCAATGTTTTTGTGACACCATCGATTACTATATGACATCAGAGATGGCTGTCAAAACGAGCAAGTATGATTCGGGCTTTAAGCAACATTTATATTTCGAGGGTTGATAAATGTTTGAAATATTAAATTACTCTGGTTATTGTCAAAGAAATTTCTTTTTATCTGATTATAAGTGCCAGTCTGGCAACCATATTTATTACTCATGAATTACCCAGCAAAACCGATTAGAATTTCTTTGTGGGAGGAGTTGCAGGGATGGGAGATCAGTAGAAGCACTTCACTCATGCTGTGTAATTATTTCCAGGCGAGGTTGCTGGAGGGTGTGCCTCCAGGCATGTTCTATGAGGTATGTGAACCTTGAGTGGTTAATATTGAATCTACACGGACTCATCCTCAACAAGTTGACAATTGGCTGCGTTGATGAATTGGATGAAAAAAGTCAGAAGCAGTTGGAAAAGATGGTAGGATTCACCATCAATTGGTTAATTTGAGAGAATAGATAAACCACATGTTGTCATTCTGTGTTTAGTTTCAAGTTTGTTAAATTAGTTTTAGGACTTTTTAACCAAGATTACAATATACAGAAAGGACTTTTTTCTTTTATAAAATGGACCCGAAATGTTTTACACAGACATATATTTTATGTTGATTTACCAGTTTTTGGTTTTTCCCATAATACTAATTATTTTACTGAGAAACTGAAAGGCTTTACATTTAGTGTAAGTTTAACATTTTTGGGATAATATATAAATTATTATTTGGGCACAGTAATTACTAAAAGGATTATTTTACAAACTTGACATCAGGAGAGTTTCAGTGGTAAAGGATTCATTTTATTGACTCCTTGTCAGTTCTTAAAAATATGACATTAAATTATGTATTTCTTGTCTTTATTTGTATTACTATGACTTGCACTAAAAAAATTTGTAGGCAGAACAGTACGAGTAGACCCAGTACAGGTTATGACTAATGCTGTTCACTCATTATTGCAGTTTATTGAAATACGTATTAATTTTTTTTTTTAGGTTCCAATAGATTCTGTATTATTGGTGTAATTTGCATTGTTTTCATTGGTTGGATGTGTAAATGTTGACCCTTTGGGTCTCATTAACTTTAGTTGGCAAGAGGAACTTATATATTTCCCATGATAATGAAGACAACTGGTTTAGGATACGAAGGAAGCCAACTGTAATGCTGGACAGTACTGTTTTTATTATCATTTGTACCATTATCAATATTTAATTTACTGTGATGTCAAATGAAAATTTCATATTCACCATTAGTTTTCTTAAAGATGGAGAGACTTAGAGTAAGGCATAATACTGTAGTAACATAAATATGTTGGGGAGAATACTGACATTAGTTTGTAGGTAAAGTATGAATACATTGTCCTATTTTTACTTCTTATAATTATTTCTCAAAGTTGTTTTTGCTCATAGTCATTTTTGTCTTCAATAATAGTCATTATAAAGCAATTTAAATCAGTTACTCTGTATTGGCTACACCATCAATACTTGTCACAGAGTGTTTACCTATGCATTTAACATGTCACCACAAAAGTCTGTTTACATGAATTTCCCTGTTGTATGGTAACCTGTGTAGGATAAATATATTCATATTACAGATTTCAAAAGGAAAGCACTACTAGTTAACCACATCCTTGCCCAATCAGGTCACAAATATTGAGATGATGAGAAGAATTATCTTCTTATTTCCATCCATCTATGTGACTCTGAGCCCACAGGAGTGAACAATACCCTGGGTTAATTTGCAGTCTATGGTATAGTAGGAAAGACTAGCATAAGTACAGATCACACAATTAAGCAAAACCTCAGTGTACCTCTTTTTCTTTACTTTCCACTATGATGACAAAAAGAAAATTGCACTCATAATATCCCAATAAATTTAATTTTAATAAGTGATCATCAGTACTCCATTCATTATTGTAATGTTGATATCCAAATACTGTATATCTACACTGGTTTTCTGTTTGCAATAAAAGTAATAGTAAATTTTGAGTTTGAAAAATTGGTGTATTAATCTTCAATGCTATGTGAATGAAACCTGCTTAATTAATGTTAAATTGGATCTTTAATGATAAGAATATGGTATGGGTAATTAAACCCTAAAAAAATAATGTACAACTCCTTTCTTCAATGTTGAGTAGCAACTGGTAAACTCAACTTATTGAACTGGTCTCACCTCCCTAATACTGTATTGAGCACAGAGAAGCACATAAAATCAACTAGATACTGACAGCAGAAAAAACTTGACACTGTACATACAAAGCAATATAATAATGAAGTATGGCACAAAACTGAAAAATTTGATCAAACAAAACACTAGATGGCAGCATATGACTTCTCTTGGAGACACAAACCTTTACATGGTACCGTACCATTAAAAAAAATGAAAAATCTATGGTGGTAGGCACTTGAGACCAACTTTCTGAAATCTTGTACTGTATATACATTAGAACTTTGTCCTAACTGGGTGAACAGTTAAAAACCAAACACCTGGTATTTGTTGCAACAAACTGTGTTACCACAGGTGGCAAAGGCAGTTAATAGGTGGCTTTGGTGCCTTCAAACTGTATGACCTCACCCAGAAATAAAAATTTCTAAACAAAAATATTTGCCTAAGGTATGTTACACACATGCATTCAATTCATAAATACTTTGAAGATAACAGGAGGGAAAAGAATGACCAAGAAAATAATGGAAGTATGTAATAAATGTTATGGTCATCCAGGATGCAACAATATGTGTACATGAGCAGAGAGGATGGTGTCATGTGGTAACTGGGACAGTACTTATTGCTCAGTAAGTCAGAAGTCATAGCTTACAGCCGTTATACACAAATATCAAACATCTATGACTGACACTAAAAATAAAAATGGTATAAAGGGCCCCCAAAATTCTCGGGGGTTAGGTTCTCAAAATGGCCGTGAATCGCCAAATCCGTGAATAAAATCTTTACTTGTGTACAAAAAATTTAGTATTGTATGTCTCACAAATAATCAGAAACAAATTTATTAAAAATGTGAGTTTACCCTCAAGTCCGTGCTCTATTAAAGTACTGTAATAGAGAATGAACTTGAGTGTAAACAGTCAAATTTTTAATAAATTTGTTTCTGATTATTTGTGAGAGGATTTTCCAATTATTATTCATCTGTGTGTGTGTGTATCTACACACATATTTACAATACAAGTAAAAGAAATTAATGTCTCTAGAACGAATGACTCTCTGTTCCAGCCACGAAAACGAGGCAACTTTAAAACTACCCACAGACATTCTTGGGTACATCCAGGGTGTCATCCGCGAATAGCCGAGAACCGCGAACTTGTATGGGGGGGGGCCTGTATTAGTTAACATGTTATAAAAATATTTAAAAAAATTTAAATTATGAGATGTTAACAACCAAATGTCACAGAAATTAAAATTTTGGAGCACTATTCAAACTTATGAAACCAACTGTTTGTTTCTTACATACTGACGTGTTCTTGTGTGTGTTACAGGTAAGTTGCAGCTTCAATAATAGCTGATGCTTCTCTTGATGAGAAAACAAGAAAAAGCTTCAACATCTTGCTTCTTCCATCCTTTTTTATGGACAATTTTTTACCTGTGGATTAAAAAAAATATTTTTCAGTCTTATTTTAACCAGCTCAACTTCACTGTCATTATATGGGAATTACAGTAATGTAACTGTCTTTATATTTCTGAATCAGAGCAAAGGAAACACATTACAGTGAAACCTTGAAGATTTGGACCATGTAAATCCAGATTTTGGAAGATTCGGACAAAAAAATTGGGGGTTCTGGGCTAAGAAGCATTCCCAAAACAGGGTGAAGGTAGTTTTAAGCTTAAAGTTTTTATCTTATAAAATGTTACAGATTAAACTTGGTAGAATATTGCTGGAATTCTTGCAAGATAGCAAATAATTTGAGTATAGACATCACATGGTTTGCACAAGAGATCAAAATATAGCCTTTAGTGTAGCACATTTGAGTACAAAGTGAGTACAGTAATATGTTGCTCAAAATTATGGCTTTTTCACAGGAAAAAATATATATAACTAACCCCAGTGGTCAGGATAATATGTACTGTATTTTTGGTGTTATTTATATCATTATTTATCGTTTCTATACAATTAGTACATTCGCCAGAAGATTCGGACAATTGGCTTTTTTGGACAGGTGGTCCCCCCCCTTTTAGTCTGGATCTTCGAGGGTTCACTGTACAGTACTGTAAAAATTTAGAGATAACATAGAGGGAACAGAGGGCTAATTTTAAAATGAACCTTTCCAAGGATAAAAAAAAAAAAATCAATTAAATGTGATGTAAAGTAACTTTTTTTGAGTGGAAGCCAAGTCTTCAGAGGTGGGACATTAAGAAGGGTCATATAAATAACCCATTTCAACTAAGTTCCATTCAAACTTCATTTATTTATATTTACTCATTATATGTATAAGTTGGGAACCAGTATTTAAAAAATTTAGGAACAGTTACAAATTAAATAACATCTATGAGCAGCTCAGCAGTGTTATTGTAAGTAATGGTGAATAATATACTGATAGAAAGATCTTAATGTACAGTACAGTGTATTTAAAAATTTCTTACCACTTGTTATAGTCGTGTTAAAGGACTGGTTTAGATGAATGGCTCTTCCTTCGACTGTTTTTTTTTCTAGTACATGCAAAGTACCACATCCATCAAGCACATATAGGTTCTGAAAAGTACCAGTGAGTCCCTATAAAATGTATATTCCCCACCAAGAAAACAATAACTACAGAGAGAACCGACATGGGTTCTTTTTTGTACACCTACAGGCCCTTTCTCATGATCATCAATGGATATAGGGAAGGGGGCGATCATCAGTGGACGTTTCATGTGCCTTGTGTTTCTTTTATACAAGTTAAGGGTTAACTACCATAATTTATAGCTGATTAGAACACTACACATACTGAACAAAGAAGCAGGTTTTCAACATTGGATTCTAAGTCAACAGAAGAGTTTGGGATCAAGAGGGTTCCATAACATAGATACATTACCAATTCTACCAACGCAGAATGGATACTATCATGAACATGTGTCCAAGGGCAGCATGTAATAAACCACAGTATTTAGAATGCTCAAATCATTCATAAAATAGACAACAGTATTTTGTGAAGTAGATTTTTGATGACAGATACTTTACTGTATTAAACTTGTGGGCAAGATGATATCAAAACAGGCTTATTACTTTAAAGAAATTGATTAGGCCAAATAATAAGGTACAGTACACATCAAGGTAAAAGCACCAGTTTTGTACGTACAGTAGAATGTCATTTAACAAGGTTCCAAGAGAGGTACATTATTTTGAGTAAACGTCCAGTACAGCTTTGCCCTTAGGACAGTGTAGCGTGCCCAGAGAAACATTAGGCGCAAAATTTTAAATATGATGCGCCAGAATGACTCGCGCAAAATAGGAAAGATTCGCTTTAAATTAAAACATTGTCCTTAATTGTGGGTGTCACTTTAAATCAATAATCTTAAATTGAATCGCTTTAAATCGACGTTCTACTGTACATGTTATATATTCACTGAATGGAAACACACAAAACACAAAAACAAAAAGAGAGCGAACACCTTTCTCCTCTTCGTTCTCCTTACCGTCTCCCTGGTGGTGTTCCAGACTACCTTGCCCCACTCGAGGAACATGAATCCTGAATAAATATCAAGTTGTTTGTCCTCGATACACTTGGCGAAGTAGCACTTATAATCATTCATCTGTATATGGTTGAATTTCAAATCCTTAAACTTGACCACTTGCGGTGTGTCTTGGCAATCTTGTGTTCTCTCTTTAAAAAGAAATAATGTTCAATGAATAAATTGTTATAGTATCAACAAATACAAATCTTCTATTATTTAAGAAATTACAAAGTGCACAAATATTTTATCTAGAAATTGCATTATATATCCCTGAACATAATGATTCCCCAGAAATTTAGTAGTAAACTTGTATTTTCTCCAACTTTATGATTGTTTCAAAACTTAGCAAGCAATATCAAGGAAGCCTTACCCTCACCACTACTAACTTAAGGACAAGCAGTTTGTTTTACATTTTCATTCATTCAAAGAACACAAAAATATATACTGTAAACCCTCTAATTTACACCAAACTTTCCACTGAGAATGAAAGTTTCCAAAAATTTGTCTCCCATTGTAGAAAAATAAGTAGAGTACACAGCATAGGACATTGATAAAGAAAAGGAAAAAAGACAAGTACAGTAGGAGGTATAATCTTCCTACCTATAAAGCTATCACAACAAATGCTATAAATTTTACTGATTGAAGGAGCAGTGTACTTACCAGTTACAACATTCTTAGTACGTATAGTACTTTGGTTCTAAACAGTACTGTACTGTACTCTCAAGCCACTAACAAATTACAAAACAATAAAGTACTCTGACATAAAGGTCTCATGTAAGAGGATTCCTTACCCTCCCCATCCCTATAATGGTCATTCATATATGGTCTCCTAGAAAGGCATTTCTAAGCACCAACCTATACTCCTACGCTTGGAGGGATGTTCATCGTCAACCTCTGCTGTTTCATCAAAGTTGTCATACAAAGGTGAATACAATTTTCTCTTTGACAGAGAAGAGCCCAAGGATGGCGTATGGAGTGACTGTTCAACA